TTTGGAGGTGTGGAAATATATCTCTGCAGAGTTCTTTGCAAAACTGAAAGCAAGTAAAAAAAACTCACAATTTCCGTTGTCTTTAAGAAATGGCAGTTAAGGAACCGTGCAAGCCAATGCAAGATCAAAGACCAAGAAAACTCTCAGACAGAAATGCTCATATACTGCCCAGAAAGGCAAGCCAAACCTCCATATAACAAAAAGTGCCTTGTGGAAGGTTTAGCTGACATAGGAGTGGTGGTGCACCATTCTATTGTGCAGCATTGCTTCTACAAACATGATCTGCATGAAAGAGTCATCAGTAAAAAACCTCACCTGCAACCTTATCACAGACATCGATGTGTGAAATGTGCAAAACAACATCTAGATAAACCAGAGACACTGTAAACAAGTGCTGTCGACTAATAAGTAAAAATTGAACTCTTTGGCCACGATCAGCAAAGTTATGTTTGGAGAAAACATAAGCATTTGATGAAAGGAACACCTTGATAAGCATGGGTGTGGATCGATTATGCTTTGGAGTTGTGTGGCAGCCAGTGGCAAATATTGCATGAGTAGATGGAAGAATGGATTCCATGAATTCTGGAAGTACATGTGCCACAGTCAGTCAAGAAACTGCCTTTTATAACAGGACAATCATACAAAACACACCTTAAAGTCCACCATGAACTACTTCAAGACGTTAAAGCTGAAGCTTTTGAAATGGCCCTCACAGTCCCCTGACTTCATTGAAAATCTTATACATGTCCATCTTGAAGAGGGCCATCTTAAACATGCCTAAACAAGACGGCCTGAGAATATCTTAGAACTAGCCAATCAGTGTTCTGCAAGAAAAATTGCTTGAAAATTCTTGAAACAAGAATAGAAAGATTCTTAACTGGATAAAAAAAAGTGTTTGCAAGCTGGGATGTCAAGGGGGTGTTACTAAGTACAAAGTTTCTGCACATGCCATGATTACTGTTTTTTTTCTGTTTATGAAGGTAATCGAATAAAAGTAAATGTGAATAAATATTTAAAGAAAAAATTTCATTTTATTTATATGTTATTTATTTGCTGCAGAGATTGTGTTTACTTCTTAAATAATTGGCCAGGGGTATGTTTTCTGCTTTTGCTCTTGACACTGAAAAATGAACAATTTATGTGCTTAATGGTTGTTTTGACTGGAAAATAAAAAGGAATAAAAGATGGCCTGTGGCTTTTGAAAAACAGATTCATTATTTCTCTTTGAGAAAGGACATTTATTTTGAGATATTGCTATTATTTTGGGGAAAATATCCTTTTTATCAACATGTTATCAAGTCAAAATAATCAGGAGAAGACAACATTTCATCAGGCCACTTATTCACCTGATGGAAACTACTATAGTTGGACTGGCATCTCTTAGCAACAGCAGTGGCAGCCAAAATAAGACAAACTTTTCAGATATATCAAATGAGTATTGGTAAATCAGAGTTAATGCTCCTCCCAGGATTTTTTGCTTTGAGGAAAACAATATGGAAAAAGTGCGAAATACCCCTTTGATCTTGATGTGGGGGTTGAAGGGCCCCTTTGTCTGTTTAGTAAATCTGACAACCACTTTTTAATGCCAAAATAAGGTTTGCAACTGAGCTAAAATCTGCTCTTAAATCTAATGCATAATCTTTTCCCAGTGATGTCACTGGGAATTCGTGTGGAGTTCTGAAACCTCTGTATTCACTGGTATGAACATCTAAGGATGCCAGCCAACCACATGTGAAAGCTTTCATCTTGCTGCCAGACGCTCCTCTGGTACACCAGCTAAGCTACCTTTCTATAGGGGACTAATTTGGCAGCACTCAATGATTCATGCGGTCACTTGATCATTCTCAGTGAACCAAAAACCACCTTTTCCTAAAATAGACTTCAACTAATTGTTGGCCGTAATGAGCCTCTGTGAGCAAAGTAGGAACAGCATCTCAGCACATCTTTTATATCTGCATATTATGCTTATTATACTCTCACACATATTTATCTTTCTTTGTGTAGCATCTAGGGTCTAATCCATGTACACTACATGGCCAAAAGTATGTGGACATCCCTCCTACATATTGAGTTAAGGTGTTTTACACCCATTGCTGGTGTATGAAACAGGTGTACGAAATCAAGCACATAGCCATGCTATCTCCATAGACACTGGCAGTAAAATGGATCATACAGATTTCTGTCCAGCTAGATCTGCCCTGGTCAACCATGAGTGCTATTATTGTGAAATGGAAGCATCAAGGAGCAACAACAGCTCAGCCACAAAGCAGGAGACCACACAAAACACACAGAGAGGGGCCGCCGGGCGTTGAAATGCACAGCGCGTAAAAATCGCCTATCCTCTGTTACGTCTTTCACTACAGAGTTCAAAACTGCTTCTATAAGCAACATCAGCAGAGGGACTGTGCCTCAGGAGCTTCATGAAATAGGTTTCCATGGCTGAGCAGCTGCACAGAAGCCTAAGATCACTATGCACAACTCCAACCCAGATAGCAAATTTAATATGACCCTAACCTGGGCCACATCTGGCACTTAGTTGAGGCCCACATACGGCATGGAATGATGGCACAGAAGAGGGCCAGATGTGGTTGCTAGAACACAGCCTGTTTATTGCCATTAAAGGGCCACATCTCAGCCACCTTTAAACCACCACTGCCAGAAGTGACCCACCTGTCAAAACCACCAGTACAAAAACCAGGCCACTATAACAACTTCCCTGTTGGGTGGGACCTCCTCTGTTGTGTAGTGACAACAGCATCAGGGAGGTTAGCACATGCTTCCCCCTCGTTGGCTACCAGCCGCAGACAGCTGTGGTATTGATGGGGTTTGAACTCCTCATGATGGGGCAAATGTTTACACTATTGCACTACTCTGGTCCTCCTGTTTATAGGCCTACATTACCTAAATAAGCCTGCATGTCAAAATGTTTACTGCACTGTGAAAAACAGAAACTGAAGACCGCTATTTGCGGGCAAAAATGTAGGTTTCAATAAAATCAGCAAATTATGATTATCATATCAGACCATTCAGCAGACCCGGCCCAAACTAGCTCATTGTGACGTCCTTGAGCTGTGACGTCAGTATCAGTGAGTAATTCAGCTCGGAAAATCACCCAAAATCCTGATATTATTGCTCTGTTTTTTCCATCATATTCTAACAAAGGGTTAAAACAACGCCATGATTCACACACCAGAACACTCAGAGGAACCTGCCATCACTAGCCAGAGTGAGAGAAACCAGCTCTAACGGCACACAGCCAGAAATACAGCTCAAACACACAGCCAGATCACTGTAAAACCTGCTATTAGCTCTCTGCTTTAGCCTTCATATGGCAACAAAACGGTTAAAAGTTTAAGTTGATTGAACATGAGGTGTCTTATTGTTCTATTAACTTACTATTTGATATTCAGTGAGCACAATATTTTAAGCAGCCACAAATCATTTTAAACTAAACTTGAATTAAACTGCAAACTAGGATATGTAGTAGCAATATGTAGGATATGTAGTGTTCATAGTACTGAGGCAAATTAAGATGTTAACCCAAATAAAACACAATATGTCACAAAGACCAAAACATCTTAGGTTGGATTTTTTACCATGCAATTTATGGCTGAGATCTTAATTTAGACTACACGCTTCCACAATTCTGTTAATTCCTGTTTGAAACATAAATGACTGTCACATACCTCATGGGAGCCCAATAAAGTTGTTTAATGTGGGCTACTTTTGGCTCAAATGCAGTTTCCTGGTGGCAACAATGGGCCAGTAGTGCCATATCTTTGCCAGAAGTTGCTCACCATCTGCATGCACTCTGGGAAGTGCTGGCTAGAGTGGTAAAAAAGGCCACCACTGGACTCAGGAGCAGTGGAAATGTGCTCTCTGGAGTAATGAATCACGCTCACTGTTTTAGAGTCTGATGGACGAATCTGGGTTTGTGAATGCTAAGAGAACGCTAACTACCAGAATGCATAGTGCCAACAGCAAAGTTTGGTGGAGGAGGGATAACAGTCTGGGGCTGTTTTTCAGATTTTGAGCTTTGACCCTTTTCACAGGGACCTATTTTCACATTTGTAGTGCCTAATTTCAAATTATTTGCTCAATTTAACACATTGGAAAAAAGTAAAACATCAAATATGAAATGTGCCAAAACTTACTTTCGACAGTCAACAAAACATGCAGTTTGATCATGGGTGCCTAAATTTTGCATAAAACTGTAATTGTTATTATTTAACCTATTATGCTCCAGGGTATATTTTGGTTTGTCCATCTGAATTTATGTAACCAAATCTTAAGGCAAATTATTCAGTAACTGCATGAAATAAAATAAAATAAAAATTTACATTATTTATTTATTTATTTCAAAAGCTCCCCTCAAATTAACAGATGTGTTTTATGATCATATACATATTGCTATATGCTTACAATTTACTGCTGCAAGCCTAAAATCTCAGACGCACTTTGTATTATTTTATAAAAATAATGTTTACAGAGCAGATCACTGAAGAGACGCCATCTGTGTATAGTTTATAGCCCAGATTTGTGGAAAAATGGGTCAACTTTCAGTAGACAAAAAAATTGTGAGTTGAGCTTATTTTATTATAAGGGTTTAAAATTACATCACCCATTACATTTGACTGGAAAGAGGTGATTTACAGCTCTCATATGACCCCCACCTTTTGAATGTAGCTTATGAAATATGAAAGTTATGAAGAATATGACGAAGCACGTTTTGGAACCACTGGTGGTTCCAAGGAGCATAAGAGGCTATGACTTTCTGTGGTTTGAGTTTAATAAATGTGACAATTGAGAACTGGTAATCATATCAGTCAGAAAAGTCCTGTTTCATTTTTTTATATTATCAGTTATCAGAATTTTTAGATATGTAAATTAGTATCGGTATTGCCTACAAATATCGGTCAGGCCCCAGCAGCAGGAATCTGTGTCCTTTGTCTCTGAGTCTGAATGTCTCAGTGCACATGTCTGCACCAGATGCTCCGTACCTGCCCTTGACATTGAAGTTCTTGCCCAGCAGCAGGTGCTTGAGGGAGGGATGTCGGGAGAAGGCCGGGATGACCGAGAAAAGATCAGTGTCCAAACCTGAGGTGCAAAACAAAACAGAACAAAGCAAATCAGAACAAAGATAGAACAACAGAAATAGAAGAGTGGAAGTGTTTGTTATGCATTGGAAGAATCGGCAGGTAAAGCGCAAAATATGTAGGCAGAACAAAGTCATACTAAAACCTTGGAGATCCATGTTTGTTTGTTTTTTTTATTTTATATTTAGCATTTATACCATCTGAAAATGTCAGCTGCCTTTTACATTGTTAGGATGTAATTCTGCAGTGCACCAAATTAATCAAATTGAATCAAATTAGTGTGAAATTTGAGATAACATATTTCTTTTTTTGGGCATACAGATCATTTAAACAATATTGATAGATGAAGTTGATATAATTTAACAAGTGACAGTTAAAATGAACAATTATGTCATCCTTTATTTAATAGAAATGTTTTGTTATGTTGAAAAAGTAAGTGCATGCCAATATATCACTTATTCAATGTGTCAAATTGAAATCAGCTGCACCCGTTCAGGTGCTAATGACTAGAACAATGTTAGGGAATATCTTGAAGGAATTTGTCTTATTTAAATCTCAAATATCTGCTCTGGTTTGCTCTTTGTTATCAGAGTGTGAGGTATCATGCTGAGATCAAAAGAGCTCTCTGAGGCCTTCAGAAAGAAGGTTGTGGATGCCTGTAAATCTGGGAAGGTGTTTAAAAAGATGTGCGAAATATTAGAAGTAAATATTTCCACTGTCTGAAAGATCATTTAGAAGCATAGAAACCACTGCCAGGGCCAAACACCATTGAAACCACTGCCTCCCCAAGAATAGACCATAAGATGCCGAAAAGAAGTCTTTAAGGACCCCAGAATTTCATCACAGGATCTGCAGGTATTTCTTGCCTCTGTTGATGTAAAAGTGCAGGCATCTACCATTAGAAAGAGACTGCACACATTTGATCTACATAGGAGTTTGCTAATCAATGTCTAGGCATGGACCAGGACTTCTGGAACGATGTCAGGGTCAGAGATTGGCAACAGTACCCGAAACCAGGTTTGTCAAAAACAAAAAACAGCATTTTATCAGAAAAATGGTGGTGTAAACATTTTGACATTGGGCTGCTTTGCTGCCTCAGGGCCTGGCCAACTTGCAGTCATAGAATTGACTATGAATTCTCATTCATACTAGAGAGAGCTTGAGGAGAACATGAGCCCATCTGTCAAAAAATTGAAGCTGAAGAAGTGGACCTTTCAACAGGATAATGATCCCAAACATATAAGTAAAAGAAGGAAATAGAGGGTCCATTTTGTAGTTTAAGTCCATCTGCATGTCTTTGTTAACCCTCTTTCAACCTGTTCTTCAATTGTCAGGCCACCCACAGGACCACCACAGAGCAGGTATTATATGGGTGATGGGTCATTCTCAGCACTGCAGTGACGCTGACATGGTGGTGGCGTGTTCATGTGTGTTGCACGGGTACAAGTGGATCAGACACAGCAGTGCTGCTGGAGGTTTAAACACTTCAGTGTCACTGCTGAATAGTCCACCAACCAAAAAGATCCACCGAACAGCGTCCTGTGACCACTGATGAAGGACTAGAGGATGACCAACACAAACTGTGCAGCAGCAGATGAGCTATCGTCTCTGACTTTACATCTACAAGGTGGACCAACAAGGTAATAGTGTCTAATAAAGTGGACAGTGAGTGGACACAGTGTTCAAAAAAATCCGGCAGCACTGCTATGTCTGATCCACTCATACCAGCACAACACACACTAACACACCACAACCATCACATCATTGTTATCATGCCGGCTCTGTGGTGGTCCTGTGGGGGTCCTGACCTTTCAAGAGCAGGCCAACAAAGTATGCAGAGAAACAGATGGACTACAGTCTGTAATTGTAGAACTACAAGGTGCACCTATATGGTAAGTGGAGCTGATAGAAAGAAGGAGATGTGCTTTATATATACAGACATTTTTCACAATATCCAACAAATATTGTGCTTAATTGGTAAAACATTGCTTTTCTAAGGTTTGATAAGTTGTAATAGACTCAATCCAGCAGCAAAACAGCAGCAAAACAGAGCCACAATTTTAAAAAATTGCTATTGACTAGAATTTTGTACATTTTTTGTATTCAACAGGTTGCACACTGTACTGATACTGAAATCTTGAGAAATGGCAATTTTGACTTAAAGTAAATAAATGAAAGGGTGATCTTGGACCTCAGTACTGTAATTTATCACAATAACAACATATATCACCACATAACCCACCCCCTACACAAACACACGTGACTGACTGATCTCACCGTTATCTGAGATGTCTAAGGTGCTGATGCAGGAGACTTGGGGGAATAAGTCCTGTATTACAGCTGCACCTGCTGACCTGAGCTGAGAAAGAAAGACAAAGAGAAAGAGAAAGAGAAAAAGAGAATGCAACAATGTTTTTCCTCATTAATGGAGATTAATAGCTGTTAAGCCAGCAGACGAATGCTAGTCCCTGCAGCTTTAGCTCATCTAGATTTAATTAGCTGCTGGAAGAAAAGAGCTGGCCAACACTAAAAAGGCCTGAAAAGTTGCACTCGATTTCAAGGCAAGTGCATTTCATTCCCACCATGAATGGCTATATAAAAGACTCAAGAGACGACTGAAAAGGCTGTAAGGAATGAAGTGAATAAGACAGGAAATGTCAGCGATGATAAAGAAAAAAGCCGGCACGCCACCGCACGGAGATAAACGTGCGTTGAACTTTTCCACGAGGCCTTGAAACGTTCCGGTTCTTTATCTGTGCAACTCACTTTGCATTTAAGAGTCAATCAACCAGTAGATACTGTGCAGCAGCCACTCCGTGTGGAGACACCAAAGACAGCAGCGTAGACGCACAGACGCACGTCTGATTCACAAACTGCATTCATAATCAAGTCACCTTCACAGATTCATGTGGTGGATGTGGATCATTTTACTGAGTTGGGTCAGATTCAGAGCCGAAACCGCATTTCGGACTTTTAACCGACTTGGACTTTAGATTAAAGTTCTTATAACTCTGTTTTTTATGTTTTTTCAGTCAAATAAATGTTTGAACATTTTGTCACTAACAATACATTAAGAATGTACCAAATGTTCCAGTGGTGAGTGTTTCGCTAGAGACAATTGTAGCTAATTTAAGCAGAATTAAAAGATGCTAGTTAGCTCATGACTAGCAAACACAGCATTTAACAGCTGTTCACACATAAAATCATAAGATTTTTCATTAAAAAATATTACTTTACTTTCTTAATTGCAGAAAATATGTGTTTCAGTACTGACAATTCTTAATGTTACACACTGATTTACTTACAAAAATGGGATCTAACTGCTCACGATTTGGCCAGGAGGGACGCAGTCTCACTTCCCGCTCAAAAATGCAGGGGTGTGGCTAAAATAAGGCTCATCCTATAGACTAAAACTCTGTGTTTCGGTAGTGACATCAGAACCTGGGACATCATTTTTTATTTAAATATTAAACTCAAGATAATTAAAATTTTTCAAGTTTGCTTTCAAAATAAAAAAAAAAAATGAGAAACAATATTGAAAAAAGTTGGACCTGTCAAGTTTTGAAAATGAACACACATATACTAATGTCCTCTCTCACATCACGTCCAAAACAGACAGACTGCGACGCTGCGCTAACATTTTAAACCGAGGCTGCTCAATTTGCTGTTTTGTATGGATGCGTTAAAAATCCATACATGGAGCAGGCCAAACTGATCTCCAAAAGTGTGGTTCAGTCGTAGTTCATATGAGTTCATTTATGACAAATATGAAAATATAACACTACACGCTTGTTTTTTAATATGTAAAGCACATTGACATGGCTTTGGGAATCACTCCTTTAGAGCATGCGTTGCAGTCAGAATTTTCTCAGGAGATGCAGGGGGTGCTATTAGCACACAAGTTACAATGAACCTACACCAGAAGGAGCTCACGAATGAACATTCATTCAATGAACACCATTCAAGTAGTTAATGTTAAAAAAAGCATATAAATTAAAAACAGAATAGAAAGTAGGTCCTGGGGGACATTATTTACATAGAAAATACCATCTTTTTTTTTAGATATTGCCCAGGCCTAGTTATCACATGCTATGTCATTTCATCCAAAAAAGTGATGATGCAAGCCAAAGTTAGAAAAAAATCTGAAAGCTGACAGATGTTATGATAACATGAACGGTGACAAAAGCAGCCTCTATGACAGATGACACCCATTGGAATAATTGTTTATAAATGTTTATGTAGGTCTATGTCTGTTGTCATGAAGAGTAGGTGTAGTGTCACATATTCCTATTTTCTTTAATTTTTTAAAATTTACTGAAAAATAGTTTTGTATAAATATATATAAAGATATAAATGTATGCTTATTGGGATACATAATCAGTCAAACTATAGTCACTGGGGGACTGTGGCTAATATATATATATATATATATATATATATATATATATATATATATATATTGGGGTTGAGAAAAAATATAAAAAACCTATACACTTTAATATTTCAATATTGGGAGCTTCACAACTTCACAATAGAATCGATACACAGAGGCAAAATCAATATCTTTTTATTTAACTATGAATATTTCATGCTAGGGCCATTTCAGCCTAAAATTAGATTTTAATATGTTATCAGTTGTGTTATGCAGTATTCAGCATGGTATCTTTTAGCCTCATGAACTTGACAGAAGTTGATATTGTTTGAATGGTTTCATTAACAAGTGTTCTCTCACTACAATACCCAGCATGCATTATGCAAACACATCATACAGCCACTGGCAATCCCTGTGGTGTCAACCAATCTGCTAGCCTAGCCACTGAGCTACAGGCTAATAAATAGGCAACCAAGCAAGCACTAGTGTAACACGAAGAAAACAGTGACTCCATCTTTATTCAGCACAAAACGGACACTAGAGAGAAGTTTTTTAACCTTCAGCCAGAGAAAAGAAGCTGCACGGAGGAAACCTTTTTAAATACCAGGCTACCTTGCTAAATTTAGATTTTAGCTTGTTGTCCTGCTCATCTGATTATTCAATATTTACATTGTAATGATTTTTCTTTTGTAACTTCCTTCCACCTTCAAGAGACATTATTTTTCCTAGGGTGGGCTGCACTAACAAAGATTAACCCTTTAAATGTCCAGGGCCCATCGGCAGGCTCAACGTTTTATTACACACTTCTATAACCTAAGAACAGCTCAACTAGTTTGCATTGAAGTCCCTGTATTTACTGAATAACAAGCCTTAGAAAGTACTAAGCCTGGGATTTTAAGGGGTCAGTCTTAAACTTGGAGTACATCATGGTTTATTATTCCAGTTGCAACAAACTTTAAACCTAGAATAAAAATATTCAGGCTTACATTTAAACCCAGATTAGTTTTCCAGTAAATTTAGATTAATGTTAATCCTGTTGCTACATTATTTTAAACTGAGATGTAAACGTCATTCAGGGATTAAATTGAAATGACCAATTTAGATGGATTAAATTTACATACATAAACATACATGTAAAGCACCTCAGAAAATTTTATTTGTTTGTAACTCACTCATTCACTCACTGATGGTTATAGCAGGCTGAAGATTCTCCCCACAAGGGGGAGCTATTAGCACTCAAGTAGCTTTGGTGTGCACCGCTGAAATAAAAGAAAACAAACAAGCTGGATTTTACTAAAGCATCTATGTTTTGCAGTTACAAACTGCATGTATATGTAATAAACGGCTGAAGAATTTTATGGAGGGATATGAATTCTTTTTATTGTTTACTTTGGGAGACTTAGTTGTAATACAGTGCTAAAACTAACTCCGCCATGTGGAGGCTAAATTTTAGCCTGGCTAGTTCTCACTTTGAGCGAGCTGTGTGCTTCTAAATACTGCAATGTTACAACCACGAAGAGTGATTAAAATAAGTTAAGTGTGAACTGAGTGGTTTATGCAAACATCTCGGTATTTGAAAACATGTCTAACCCCAGTCTAGAACCTTGGTCATGTCACTAGTCCCACAGACTTATCTCTTTTCTGTTTTTGTCTTTCCTTCCTATGATTGCATAGATACATATCAAAGTCACATAACACATTTAGAAGTCCCCCCTTATGAGAGAAAACATGTATGATGAAAAATGTTTTTAAAAAGTTTGTGGTAAACAAAACAAAACAAAAAGTTTTGAGAACTTGAGAACTATCTGTCCAAATGTGATCAAAATTTGCAGATGACATTGCTATAGGAATACAATAAGAAGACCCAAAGCACCTTTTAACTTGAACTTGTTTAACTACGTACTTCTTAAGGGTTCTTGAGTAAAGACAATGGCTCTGTTTAGATCCATGAGCTCTATATAGAACCATTTCATGCTTAAATGGTTCTTCACATAGTATAATTGCTCATCGGTTTGATGGAGAATATATTATAAATGGTTCTATGTAAAAGCTTTTTGAAAATGGTTCTGTCCTTTTCAAAAAGGTTCTATATAGATCCTAATATAACACATTCTGAAGAACCATTTCACCATGCAAAGAACCATTTAAGCATTCTATATAGAACTCATGGTTCTAAATGGAACCACTGCCTTTCCTAAAGAACCCTTGAACCCTTAAGTTGTACATAAAGTATCCATGTAACATTTTGCCCTATGTTAGCTTGTGCTCTGCTTTGGAAAAGCCCACAAGTTCACCAAGTTTCATGTAACAGTTCAAGAGTTAATATTCACATTATTAATCAGGTGAATCATTCCCTGTGGGAGTGACTTAAATGTTACAGAAGTTCATTTAACACTGTGATCCATCGATAGAAGGACCTTCTCCAAATACCACTGAACTACAATAATGATACTACACTTCACTGGCTGAGACAGAAAGTCAATTTCTCTTTTCCACAATGAAACAAAATGCCAACCATTACTACTCTCAATTTCTTCAAAAACTAGTTTGCCTGGAAAAAAGGTCTTAAAGTGTCTACTCCGGTCAAATCAGAACACCATCGCTACATCTGTCAATACTACACCACAGTGGTCTGCTGAGTCAGATTTTCTGGTTTAAAACTAGGAAAAAACCCCTCTTGATTATGTACAAACCCAATTTCAGGAAAGTTGGCAAAGGATGTGAAATGCAAATAAAAGCAGAAAGGAGCAATTTGTAAATCCACTTTGACCTGTATTTAAATGAAAGCAGTACAAAGACAAGATATGTAATGTTTTATCTTATCAAGGGGCAATTTAAGACTAGGAATGTTGTTAAATGATTAGAAAACATTTTAAATGGTGACGCAATCATGCCTGGGTATAAAAGTATTTCAAAGAGCATTTGCCAGGATTTTAGATATTTCACCCTCTACATTATCAAAAGTTTCAGGGAATCCAGAAAAAATGTGCGTAAAAAGCAAGACTTAAAACCAGATGCCCGTGACCTGTGACAGCATTTGCATTAAAAACCACCATGCTTTTCTAATAGATATCACCATATGGGCTTGGGGATACTTTAACAAACCATAGTCAATAAACACTGTTTGTTGATGCAAGGTATGACTGTACTATGGACAGTGGAAGCCATATGTGAAAAATGTCCAGAAATGCCGCCGACTTCTCTGGGCTCAATCTCATCTGAAACACTGCCACAACTCAGTACAAATGTATTGATGCTTTTTTATCTGGCAGTCTGATGGACGAGTTTAAATTTGGCAAATGCCAGGAGAATATTTACCTGCCTGACTGCACTGTACCAAGTGTAAAGTTTGGTGGAGGAGGGATAATGCTAGGGGGTTGTTTTTCAGGGGTTTGGTCTAGGCCCCTTAGTTCCAGTGGAGGGAAATCTTAATGCTTCAGCAGACCAAGACATTTTGGACAATTGTATGCTTCCAACTTTGTGGGAACAGTTTGGGGAAGAACCTTTTCTGTTCCAATTCCCACAGACACACTCCAAAATCTCAGAAGAGTGGAAGTGTTATAGCCGCAAAGGGGGGACCAACTCCATATTAGTGCCTATGGATTTAGAATGGGATGTCATAAAAGCTCCTGTAGGTGTAATGTGTAGGTGTCCCAATACTTTTGTCCATATAGTGTATATACCATTTGGTAATATATATAGCATTTTAAATATTGTAGTGAGAGAACACTGAATTCTTGAAATCTATGAGGCTGACAGATGCAAAGTTGCAAGGCTAACATGTCATACATGTGTGCACTCACCAAGACAAACTCCTTGTATGTGTAACATACTTGGTGGAATAAAGTGATTCTGATTGATGAGTAGTGATAGATGAACAGTGATTTAGATTATGTTGATATATTAATTTATTAACTGTAGTTTTGTCGGTATGTCTGGCCTGCGATAAACTGACGACCTCTCCATGGTGTTTCCTGCCCGCTGGGATAGGCTCCAGCACCGCCCATGACCCAAAAGGATAAGCGGCTTAGATAATGTGTGTGTGTGCAATTCTAATTTTACACCAGAATGCAATTTTAATGCATTTTGATAAGAGCAGGACATTTCATGGAATACAGTAAAACAGTTCTGTGCCTATAAGTGAATTAACATCTTCAGCATGCTCTTACTGTATGTCATGAATGGAAAGTGACAGATAAGAAGATTGCATTCTGAGGTGAGGAATTATATATTTATGTGATAAGAAGTTCAAGATGAAAAGCTATGCAGATAAAAAAAGGACAACCGAAAACAAAAACAATACAAATGTGAGTTTTGCCTGAGTGCAAAAATAAGGGAATCACTTAGCATTACTAATATGACCTCTCCTCATAAGCATAGTAAGTGGACAAGCAATTACAGATATGTGTTGTTTCATTTCAACAGCTCATTTCCAATTAAGCATAAACAAAACGTGCATGTTTGTGATTTTTAAAGGATGCAGTTTCTTCTTATCCCAATTAATGCCCTTCTACTATATTTCTGACACCTATTTATACGGCGTGTATTAGGAGCAACACACATAACCAACTTGCCAAGAAGGAACTGTGCAAGAGTTTAATTCCTCATTAGAGTGGAGCCACAGACAGATAAATAACAGTGGGGTACCTCGCAACCACTGACGTCCAGGTGCAGGTCAGTGATGTGAGGGTTGGAGGACAGTCCGAGAAAGAGAGCCCTGAGGAGACAGGAGAAAAACAGACGAGAAGGTGGTCATTACAGAAGATCCCCCAGCATTTCAAAGCCCCTCTTAAGTTCCAGTGTTGTCTAGTCTGAGGACTGTCACAGTTGATCTCCATTAAAAATCAAATCAGGCAGCTTCCTTTCAGGCAGTGTGAAAGTGTTACACAGGTCTTAAGGGATTAGAGGGAAAGAAGCTTAGAGATTATTCAAGTGTTCTGCGAAGAACCGGCGCTGTGGACTGAAAACTGAGTGGTGTTCAGCTGGGTGTGACCGGCTGGTGTTTGCTAGACAGACACTATGACCCCCACAACACCTTTCACAAAGCCTTCTTTCTGAAGTGCCCGATGCTATGTGAAAGCTAGTCCAGTGGCCTACTTCTGATGCCAGTGAAAGGAATCCTTCATTCAAAAAGATTCAGTTACCTAATGCTCATTTTGACCACATCTTCATTAGCACGGTTAGCAGTATTGGACCATCATGACTAAAGCACAAGGCCAAGTGATTGATTTAAGATAATGATAGGATGAGACAAGTACATAATGCTAACTTTGACTGCTTATTCTCTTTTTCCTTAGCAAGGTTAGCAATTTTGCTTGAAATAGGCAATATGGTTGATATTGAGGGCCAAAAGATTGAACATTTCAGTGAAAAATGTTAGCGTGGGTACCTGAGAGCAAACATATGAGGGATATATAGCATGATTCAGCTACCTAATGCTAATTTTGACCACCTTTTTATTAGCATGGGTAGCAGTTTTGACCATCATGAATGAAGAACAGGGCCAATGATTGGTTCAAGATCACCTAGCATGATTTAGGTACATAATGCTAACTTTGACTGCCTATTCTCTCTTTTTCCTTAGCAAGGTTAGCAATTTTGCTTGAAATAGGCATTACAGTTGATATTGAGGGCCAAGAGATTGAACATTTCAGTGAAAATGCTAGTGTGGATAACTGAGAACGAAAATTTGAGGGATGTATAGCATGACTTAGTTACCTAAGGCTAATTTTGACCACATCTATATTAGCCTGGTTAGCAGTTTTGACCATCACGACTAAACCACAGGGCCAAGTGATTGATTTAAGATCACCTAGCATGGTTTAAGTACATAATGCTAACTTTGACTGCCTATTCTTTCTTTTTCCTTAGCAAGGTTAGCAATTTTGCTTGAAATAGACAATACATGTGATATTGAGGGCCAAGAGATTAAACATTGTAGTGAAAAATGCCAGCGTGGGTAACTGAGCATAAAAATATGAGGAACATACAGCATGATTCAGCTACCTAATGCTAATTTAGACAACTTCCTTGTTAGCACGGTTAGCATTAACTTATGTCTGTTATGACTGGCTCAGATTGTCAATGAATGTAGAGAAGATTTCCAAGATACTGACCCAAAGCTTAATTTAAAATGATAGTGTGGCTACCTGAGTGCAATACTATATAGATGATATAGCATTATGTAAGTGCACAATGCTAAATTAGACCACCTCCTCACTTTATTGCTTTATCAAAGTTAGCTTTTTTGTTTGAAATAGGCATTAAATGTGACATTGAGGGATGAGATTGAGCCAACATTTTTGCTAAAAGTGCTTGTGTCTGTAATTGAGTGCAAAAGAACAAATAGCACGTCTCAGCTACCTATTGCTAAGTTTGAGCACCTCCCTATTGGGAAAGGACTGAGGGCCAAAAGACTGATTTAAGATTAATGGATTGCAATAATATGGAGAACACCTAGCAGAATTTCATTCCTTATTAGAAAAGTTATCAATTTTAGCTAAAAATGTTAGTGTGGGTGCAATAATATGAGAAACAAATAGCATTATTAACCTACCTCATGCTAATTTTGACCACTTCCTTATTAGCATGCTTAGCATTTTTGGTTAAAGTATGTCATGCTAGATGCTAGTTGGCTAACTGAGCGCATCATTATTGAGATCTACTTTGACCACCTATTCACGTTTAGTCCTTATTAGCAAGGTTAGCATTTTTGCTTGAAAAAGGCATTAAATGTGGCATTGAGACACTGACCAAAAGACTGACCCAAAAACCTCTTTTACAAATGCTAGTGCTCTCATCGCTGATTGGGTTTGGTTTCGCATTTTTGGTTTAGTCTCAAGTCGTCATGCCAAGAGTTTACCAAAGATTTTAAAAAGTAGTTGCAACTGAGTACATTATATTGGGGTCATATAGCTGAATGTATTTACATATACTGCTAATTTTGACCACCTGTTTGCTGTCACTTACTAGCACAGTTAGTATATGAGGTTGAAGTATTCTCTTCTACCTGTGATGCAGATAAAATGTGGCATCAAGAGCCAAAACTCAATGTAAAAATGATTGTGAGTGTGAGTGACGTGCAAAGATTTCTAGCATCTGCTGCATAATGCTAATAAGGACCTCTTTTCAACTTAGCAACTATTTAATAAGGTAATAAAAACATAATGCTAACTTGGACTGCCTGTTTGCTCTGATTCTTCATTAGCAAGGCTAGCATTTTTCGTTGAGGTATTATCAGTGATGCAGACAGGCACTGAATGTGGTATTGAGAGCTAAGCAGGTTGAGCCCAAGCTCCATTTAAAATGTCTTACTGAATGCAAAAATATGAGAGTCATATAGACTGATTCAGTTACATAATGATAATTTTGGCCTCATTCTTGCACTCATTCCTTATAAACAAGGTTAGTTAAAAAACTCCCTTTTATCTTGCAATGCCTGGCTCCAATCGTCATTGAATGTGAAGCAGAAGGCCAAGGGACTGACCTAAAGCTTCATTTAAAATGCCAAATGAGTGTAATAATCTGTGGAGTACTTAGCATGATTCACTTACATAATGCTAACTTTGATCACCCGTTTGCTCTGATTCTTTATTAGCAAGGCATTTTAGTTGAGGTATTTCTGTCCGTGATACAAATAGGCACTGAATGTGGCATTAAGGGCTAAAAGATTGAGTCAACCCTCAATTTAAAATTACTGAGTGTGGGTTAGGTGAAAAAATAAGGGAATCATCTAGAATGATTCAGTTACATAATGCTAATAACAACTTTCCCGCCTGCTCTCATTCCTTTTTAGCAAGGTTAGCCTTTTTGGTTAAAGAGTTGCTTTTGTATGTCATGCCTGGCTCAGATAGTCACTGAATGTTGAGCAGAAGGCCAAGAGACTAAACCAAAGCTTCATTTAAAATGCTAGTGTGGGAAATGAATGCAATAATATGGGAATCATCTAGAATGATTCAATTACATAACAGTAAACTTGATCGCCTGTTCGCTCACGTTTCTTATTAGCACAGTTAGCATTTTTGCTTGATTATCTTATCCCTGCTAAAGCAGGCCTAAGCTGGTCTATGCTGGTTTAAGCTGATGTGGTGCTGGTTTAGCTGGTCGCCCCGCATGGTCATGCTGGTTAACCAGCATACCGGCATCCAAAACACAACATGTGCTGGTTTTGCTGGGGATCAGCATATTAGCTGCCATTGCTGTGGGTAACATGCAGAAAAACGGGAATCATCTTGCATGATTCAGTCATTCAAGTCTATTTATGACCTCCTGCTTGCTCTCATTCCTTATTAACAAGGTTAGCCTTTTCCATTAAAGTATTCCCTTTGATTTTGTCATGGCTGACTCAGATACACACTGAATGTGGAGCAGAAGGCCAAAACACTGACCCAAGCTCTATTTAAAATGCTAGTGTGGCCAAATGAGTGCAATAATATGGGGATCTCCAAGCATGATTCAGTTACATCCTGCTAACTTTGACCATATGTTGGGTCAAAAGCACAGTTAGCGTTCTTGGTTGAGGTATTTATGTCTGTAATGCAGATAGGCACTGTACAGCATCAGTGGCTAAAGAACCAAAGGCCCATTTAAAATGCTGGTGTGGCTAACTGATTGCAATAATATGGGGATCACCTAGCATGACTCATGCTAACTTTGTCCATCGGTTCACACTCGATCCTTATTAGCACTGTTAGCATATTTGGTTGAGGTATTCTCTTATGTCTATAAGGCAGATAGGCAGTGAATGTGACATTGAGGGCCAAGAGATTGAGCCAATGCTCCATTTAAAATGCTAGTGTGGCCAACTGGGTGCAACAATATGAGAATCACCTAGCATGATTCAGTTACATTATGGCTAATGCTAATTTTAGCCTCAGTCTTGCTCTCATTTCTTGAGAAGGTTAGCATTTAGTTTTTAGCTTGGCTCACATTTGAAATTTTGTACTCAAAATACTGCCATTAGCTCACCTGAGTGCATCCGGCGGCATCTTCATGGAGGACAAGTTGAGGTGGGTGAGACTGAACGCCGAGCTAAAGAACTGACGGAAGGTGGGGAGAGTTTCTCTCACTTTCCTGATGGAGAGAGACAGGTAGACAGACGGAAAGGAGAAAGAAACGGAGAGGAAAAAAGAGAGACACAAAGGGGAAGAGATAGCAGGAGAGGAAGAAAGTCACCAAAAGCCTTTCATCCTTATCTAATAACTATTGCTTTCCTTTGAGATGCATTGAAGTTCAAAGGCCTTTCATGTTACCTTAATGCATCTGAGAAAAAAAAGAGCCAAAACATATTCCACAATGTATGACCACTATAGTGAGAAAAAGACCCAAGCACTGGCTGGCAGATAAAAGTTTAAAAAAAAAAAAAAAAGATAATTCTCAGGCTTGCGAGAAAATGGATCCATTTGTAGGTTTTACTATGTGAAAAAACATTTTTAATATATAATTTGAGCACTCTCAGGTTGTTTTGAAAGTGTAGTTTTAAAAAAATCTGCCCACCCCAGTAACAGTTTTGAAAATCTCAAAATTCTGTCCACACGAGAACTACTTGATGTCAAATGGCTCAAGAAGAACACTGTGAGCATGCATATTGTGTAAAACGTGAAATGTGAAGCTTAAGTAGAGATTTTTAACAGCATTTCTATTGGTCAGTTCATCATGACATTTTCAGACAACGTAAAGGACAGCTGGTGTGTTGAAATAATGCGGAAAAATATAAATCGACAAAAATGGAGACACATGATTTTCTTTGGACAGCGATTATATGAAGATCAGATCTGGGCAACTTTAACCTGGAGCGTGCCCAAAGTTTCAGAAGAAGCAGGCTCCTTACTACCTTACTGTTCCAGAATGACAAATACACTCTAGAAACATGACTTTACACATAAAGTCAGTCCTCACCTTTGAAATTTGTCTTGTTTTCTTGATGTTTCATATGAACTTAATAATCAGCCCAACTCCTTATTAACATCCTTTTTATCCTTTTGGATCTACGCTTTGAGTCTTAATTTTAATTTTTCCTTTCACAAATCTACTTTTATTTGAATGTCTGAATTACTGGCTTTGTTTCAGATCTGACGTTGGTCAATGATCATCAAGTTACAGATCTTTAAGATAATTTATATATTTTTAATATTTGCAACCAAGTTGACACAATATTGAAAAAAACAACTAACAGAGTAGATTTAGGCACCTCCATACAACGGTGTAACAACACAAACACTCACAAAATACAGCCAAAATCAGTTGTAAACATGTTATCAATCTGAAGCACAAAGAAACAACTCAGTTGTCAGCTGTATTTGCACGCTTAATAACGGTGTGATTTCTGCATTTATGTAAATAACCATATTGTGAAGCCTTTTCAAAAAGCTCAGTTTTTAGTGACAAAACACACCATTTTTGTGTGCACAGGAGGCTAAAATGCAAAATGAACGTTGAAAAGTACATACGAATTTTGGAGCAACTTATGTCGCCTTCTAGATGACGTCTTTTTCAGGGATATCCACATTTATTTAAACATGATAAGACCAAGCCACATTCTGCACAGGTTACAACAGCATGGCCGTGTAATCAGACCTGCCTCCCATTGAAAATGTGACAGGGGACTTGTATAACAGAAGAATGGCACAAAATTCTGCTTTCAAACACGGATCAATTGGTGTCTTCAATAAGTCTTGTTAAAAGGAAAAGTGATGTAACACAGTGGTAAACACGCTCCTGTCAAAACTGTACAGAAAAACATACAATTTTATTTTCAATCTAATCCAGTTTCAATTTAATTGCATTTATGAATCACTACTTTTTATTTTTATTACCGTGCCAACTTCTTTCTTAGTTAGACCAGACAAATAATTCATCGGCAAGCGCGAGAAGGAAGCAAGAGGAGACAGTAGAGACCATGTACATGTTAGAGTAGAACAGAATGGAACAAGATAACATTTTCATGCTTTACAAGATTATGCACAACGTTTTGCATGGAATGACACTGCGCTAAAAGCGAGAGCGTGTGCGTGTTTCGCGCGTGCATGAGTCTGGGGCTGACGCGCTAACGAGCGCTGAGCGGAGAGGGAAAATGCTCTCCTTCAATATTCATGAGCGTTCTGTCTTATCAGCTGGAACAGCTTTACCCTACTGCATCTCATAACTCCAAACACATTACGCACACACGAGCACATGCACACATAGACATTAGGACAAAACCAGCTGACAGCATGTGTGTGTGTGTGCATGACATTTGAGACTGCTTGTGAATGTTTGTGGCTCTGTCTTCGCATTTGTGTGTGTGGGAGTTCGAGTGGGCGGACGTGAGATAGAGGAACCGGGTCTGGCCGAGACGGAGAGGGTACAGCGGGAGTTCAGTATAAATGTACCCAATCATTTCCAAATTCATCTCCCCCCGCAAATTCAAAAGCCATTAGCAGCAAAACGTTTTTCACACTATGATTCAGAACGAAGAGAGAGAGTGAGACGAGAGAGAGAGGGACGGGGAGAGAGAGGGAGGGAGAGAGATAGAGCGACTTGGGAAATGAGCAGTAAGTCCTGCTAAAATGAGTCTCATTTTTCATAGAATTTTTCATAATGCAGTTACAGGCTGGGGGACGCTATTGCAGTGGCGGCTTCTAGGGGGAGTTATGGGGCGGCAGATATATATCATTGTGTTTTTTGCATTGCTGCCGCCTGCAGCTCTCTCTGACTTCCGCACAAACACCGGCTTCTATTACTACCTTTATGAGGGCTTCGGCTGACTCGTGTAATATCGTACAGATTTTAAATATGCCGTGGTGCTGAGGCAAGGCGGGGCAGGGAGTGGGGGTGGCAGGAGACAGACTATAAATCAATTATTATTACTATTACAAATACATACATTTTTCATGTGTAGGTACATTACATGGCCAAAAGTATGTGGACAACGGACCATCACACCTGTATGAGTTTGTTGGACATCCTACTGTAAAACCATGGACATTGATATAAGGTTTGTGGCTATGACAGCCTCCACTTTTCTAGAAAGGCATTTGTGAGGTCAGGCATTGGTGTTGGACAAGAAGGCCTGGCTCTCAATCGACATTACAATTCATCCCAAAGGTATTCAGTGGGGTTGAGGGCTCTGTGCAGGCCACTTGAGTTCCTCCACACCAAAGTAGTCAAACCTTGTCTTTATAGACCTTACATTGTGCATAGCTGATCAGTCATGCTGGAACAGGAAAGGGCCTTCTCCAAACTGTTGCCACAAAGTTGGAAGCATAAAATTGTCTAAAATGTCCTTGCAAGCTGTAGCATTAACATCACCCTTCACTCGAACTAAGGGGCCCAAACACTGAAAAACCAGACCATTGTCCCTCCTCCACCAAACTTTACTGTTGGTGCATTCCAATAAGTATCATCAAACCCAGCTTCATCCATCAGACTGCCAGATAGAACATGTCTGCACTGCTCCAGAGTCCAGTGGCGGTGCACTTTACACCACTCCAGCTGACACTTGGCATTGCACATGGTGATCTTAGTCTCCTGATGCTCAGCTCCTCATACACAGTTCCTTATGTTGCTTCCAGAGGCAGTCAGGAATGGGTGGGTGACTTTTAAGCGCTAACTGCTTCAGTACTTGGTAGCCCCACTCTGTGAGTTTATGCAGTCTAGCACTTCCAGGCTGGGCGGTTGTTGATACTTGATGCTTCCATTTGACAATAATAGCACTTAGATTTGACAGGGGCAGATCTAACAGGGCAGAAACCTCACAAACTGACTTGTGGCAAAGGTAGCATCTATGACAGTGTCTTTGTTTAGAGTCACTGAGCTCTTCAGTATGGCCCATTCTACTGCCAGTGTTTGTCTATGGAGATTGCATGACTGTGTGCTTAATTTTATACACTTATTAACAATGATGATGGCTAGTAGGCCAAAACTCAATAATTAGTATGGGTGTCCACATACTTCTGGCCATATAGTGTATGTGTAAGACGTTCTGTTTACAGGCTTAATTTGTGTCTTTAAACCAGCTAAGCTAGCAGTCAGGAGTAGCTGACAACTCAGTGATTCCCAATGGCTGTATGATGTATTTGCATAATGCATGCTGGGTATTGTAGTGAAAATGTAAAAAGTAAAACATTAAAGGGGAACTTCATCTATTTTTCGAAAATTCTACATGAATAAATGGTTAAGATGTAAACAAAGTAATTTAGAGTAGTTTGGTGCAAAATAAGTAAGTCAGAATGGTTCCCAGTGGTAGTGAAAGGAGCCAGACGTCAGAAGAGTTTAAGGCCTTCAAAAGCTACATCAGAGAAAGTTATTGCATTAAATGGTTATGAATATTCTGATGTCTGAGACATTGTTTTAAAGTAGCTTTGAGATGAGTTTTGGTATTTTAGTATTTTAATCAATTTATTCTAATCTGTTCATGGTGGAGGGATACATTAAGCATGTTCTAAGGCAAAATAGTCCCCAAAGAAATGTTTTTTTTTTTTTTCAAATGTACCACTGTTTTACTATCATCATATACATATAAAAACCTCAGAAGACTTGTGTACGTTGGTGGTTTTGGATATTAAATAAAATGGTTATATTTGTGTTGTAGACATCAGGACCGCTGGTTCCTATCACCACCACTGTAAATAAATCAGAGTCTGTAAGTTTCACTCCAAATGAAATTTCACATCAAACCACTCTGAATGACATTGTTTCATTATTTCAAACCACTGAATGATGCAGACATATAGAAAAATTGGTGGAATTCCCCTTTAAATGCTAGTTTAGTCCAGTATGCCCCATAAAGCAATGTCAAATGACTTGATTATGGCTGCTACCACAGCTTTATATATGTGACATACTTTTGTCCTAATTGTTGGGATATAAGCTTCCATTAGCCTCATAAATCAAAAAACAAAGAACTGCCTACTTCTGACACCAGCTTTGTATTAGCTGACTCTATTTTGGGAAGCATAGATTAGATTTTTCACCAAACAATTAAACCAGCAGTGCTGGAGAGAATTATTGCCCAATCATTGCAACAGAGAACCTCCTATTAGCAGCTAATTACCACACTTGTCAACTGCTGGGACTGAGCCAACAAGCTAAGACACAAGCACCACCTGTGCAAAAGCATGCATTAGAGGATTTACTCGCACACAAAAGCTGCAACTAATCCTGGGTCAGCTTTGTTACTGTTTGAGAAACACAGACTTAAGCTCACCTGTGAGAAAAGGAGTTCTTAGAGAGATTCAAATAGGAGAGGTCAGCGCAGCAGCCCCGGAGGAGAGCCCCAAACAACTGCAGGACAGAGAACAGTGCTAAAACGAGCTGATGGGTCAGTCAGAAATCAAGACCAATGTGCTGCACAAGTTATTAATCAATACTGGCCAGTGACACTTACTGAGTCCACCGTGCAGTCAGTGCCCGACAGATCCAAATGCACCAAGCAGTTGGGCTGAGCCAAGAACAGGTACAAGTTCTACAAATACAACAGAGAAGTCAGGCAGTTAAAATGTGTCTACAAGCATGTATAAAAGAGAGAGGTAGACAAAGCAAGAATGTGCAGTAGTGTCTGAATGTGAATTAGGGCTGTGCAATACATCGTTCACCAATTGTGTTGTTTGCTGGGAGCATCCTGACCAAATCTATGTTTTCTAAAGCCAGTCTTTAACAAAATGTAGTTCAAATATACTCCAAGTCATTTTGCCTTCACAGTGGCCCTCATTAAGTTTGTACAGTCAAATCAGCTCCAAAAATGGATGCATATTGCAGTGACGGTTTTGTTATTCATCAATAAAATTTGAGCAATTTTAGGCCTGATTTATGGTTAACTTACCAAAACTATTATTAACATCATCTATAGACCATTCTACCATAGTAATTAAATAAATAAATAAATAATTAAAAAAACAATGAAGTATTTGGATCTTAGTTATTTACAAGGATTATGTTATTATCATTTTAGAGCAGGAAGTGAGACTGCATCCCTGTCCCTCATGACCACATGGTGAGCATTGTTTTGAAATAAATGTACCCCAAAATCTGATCATCAGTGTGTAACATTAAAAAGCGGTCACTACTGAAACGCATATTATTTTGCATAGTCATTAAGATTTTAATCTAGAAGTCTAGTCTAGTTTATTTTTTATGGTTTTCATCATTTGTTCCTACAAAATATCCATACTGCAACATTACAATAATGTTCATTTCATACATTTTGCTTTTTCAATTTCTATAAAATTTGAATACATTTAAATTTATTTTCATCAAGCTTTGTGCATCATTGTAAATGCTGATATAAAAAATAATAAGAAATAGTGGATTTTATGGTTCTCTCTTTGCCATGGAAAGTTTAAACAGTAACTTTAAATGTGAGTTGACTTCACGCACAAAAAAGATAAAATAGATAGCTTTTTATGAGAGATATTGTAGTTCTCATGTGTAAATCATCTCTGCTTAAGTAGTATATTTTAAATTTTTACAAATAAAAAACAATATTTAAAATAAAAAAACTGCTGTGGTAATGTCATAATGTGTCATAATGTGTCAAAATAATAATGTCATTAATGTAACCTTGATGTAGCTCAAGCATTAATACACTAAAACTAACAGCATCTCACCACAACATTACATTTGTGTACCAAATCCAAACCTCCTGAAAATATGATTTGAACCTGTCCTGGTCTTTTCTCATTTCCTCCCTGCATTTCTGTGATTTTATTGTAGATGAATTTGGTTTCATCTAGGGTTAGCAATGTGACATATTTATGTTTAGTTTACATTATCTGCAATATAATATACACTCACAACCCACTTCATACTTTCGTACATCACTGAGTGTAGATCTGATGTGATGCAATACAACAGCTCTGCCATAAATCCTGCCTTTGCAAATATAATAATGTTCAGTTTTGATTGACACTGTCAGAGATGTATTAATTTAACTACATCTTTAATCTTAAGATTGTAGTTTACAATGATGTGGAACTGGACTGCATTATTTTGAGAGGTGCTCCTAATAATTTGTCCACATCCCACCTTGAATTTGTCTCGACTGTGACACAAGGTTGTTGCGGAAATTACATTTTTGCTAATATTGCAGATAAATTGGAGAAAGCAAGGTCTGTTATGTTAGCTTTGACTCATCCAATATGCATGAACTCAATAGTAATATTATTTTCTTTTTAAAATGCAATTCAAAATACATCAGTAATAGGCTGTACGGGAAGGGCACACAATAAATACTTCAGAATAAAAGATGCTCTTTACCTTGTTTTCCTTGTTTTTTCTGGATCTTGAGTCACCCAGTGTGGGTGGTGAGCACAAGTGCACCATGTGCTCACTTGCTAACTTCTGTTTCCTTAGAAACTAGATTTGTTTGGCTTTGAAAAACCTTTACTATGGCATTTGTTTAGTGTTGCGGTAAGGACTCAGAAGTGTGGGCCAGGTGCATATAGACAAAAAACAATCATATAAATGATAAGTAATGAGAAAAGAATTTCAATATGGTGTAAAGCAATATTGTTATGAATCAGTTTCATTTGAAATGATGTAATTGTAATTTAATTAGTCTTTTTTTTTGTAACTGTGTTTGACCACAGTTGTTGGACATAAACAAAAGTGGTGTTTGGACCACATAAATTACTTTAAATCACATTTGTAGTCATTATTATTTATGTCAAGATATGTAATAACACTGTGTATATATTTCTCAAGCACCTTATGACAAATTTTAAAATAAAATCCAAAAATTCACTGCTGGGACTTAATAATGCATGTAGTTGTTAAGAAACACCCTTAAGTACTTAGGTAAATAATCACACTACACAATCACATCATTCTACTGTCTTAAAATCACTAAGACATTTTGTTTTTTCCACATTTTGTTCTTTTGTAATTTTAACACTATATAGTCTGGTCAGTGAGGGGGGCGGTGCACTCACTGCTCGACCTCAAACTGCAGAATGTGTCATTTTGTTGGCTCCCTATTGAAATATCTGCATGTATTAGGGTGGTTTCATGTAAATGATATGCAAATGAGTACTAAGAGGCTGGCGCTTGATTTCACGCGCTTATGCTGAAAGCTCAGCTTGCTTCCATGCCAAACCAAAGTAGTTTCGTAAGTCAATAAATGGGTCAAATCTGTGCTCCTTTTTAGGCAAAGTTGATGAATAAGGGCCAGTAGGTAGCACTGTAATCATAGGATGATAATTTATCCATATCATGAAGCCCCTAGCATGAATGTGTCAGTGTGTTTGAGCTTATAGTACTGAGCAAAATCCAAAGACCACCCTTCATTAATCAGTAATTTTCCATTCAAAATGGCCATTGAGTACAAGTTATTCGTTTTTCAGCATCAGGAAAAAAGCAGAACACGTAAAACAGAGGCCTAAACAACTAAATATAATATCCTTTTCTTCAGTATTTGTAGCTTCCATTCTTTTCAGAAGACTTGCTTTCAGTTTTCAAAGAAACCTCTAGGAATATTTTCCTACATCTCAAAAGTTCAGTCTTAGAAGTTGGTTGCATTTTCTGACTCTCACGATCCAAGTAATCCCAAACACATTCAGTGATGTTAAGGTCTGGTCTTTGGGTCAGTCCATTGTTCTGAGAACACCAGCAGCTTCTTTGTTTGATTTAGCAAATTTCCTTCTTTCCTTTTCTCTATTGTCTTGCCTCAGTAATGGCTTCCTGACAGCTATGCATCCTTTGAGACTCATAGCATGGAGTTGTCTTCTCACAGTGGAAGGATGGACAGAGACACCTTCAAGATCTGAAGCAAGAGTGGCGCTTGATCATCTCTCAAAGATGAAAGCTTTAAGTGCTGTTTATCTGATGGTGACAGTTTTGGTGGTCTGCCAGGTCTTCGAGGTGGTTGTTAGGATTGTCATTTTCTCTGCATCTTTTAGTCACTGTTTGATCTAGTTGTTTCACTTATTTTCCTCAGACTTTCCCCTTCCTTATACAGATAATTATCGTAGATGTCAACAGAGATATCTTATCTCTTTTGAAATATCTCCTGAAAACTGAATAACTAATGTAATGGTACTAAATGGCTGTTGTGACACATACTTTGTTTCTACACTCACTGTCCATTTTATCAGCTCCACTTACTATATAGGAGCACCTTGTAGTTCTACAATTACAGACTGTAGTCCATCTGATATCCTTTCATCCCTGGTCTAGACCTCCACAGGACCACCATGTCACACTATGTCAGTGTCACTGTCAGTGCTCAGAATGATTTACCACCCAAATAATACCTGCTCTGTGGTGGTCCCATTGGTGTCCTGACCACTGATGTATTGAGTACATATTATACAGAGAAACAGATGGACTACAGTCTGTAATTGTAGAACTACAAAGTGCACCTTTATGGTAAGTGGAGCTGATAAAATGGACAGTCAGTGTAGACACAAGGTAGTTGTACCTAATAAAGTGGCCAGTGAGAGTACATGTGTGGGTATCTGTGTGAGTTCTGACCGTGGCGTCCTCTCCTGAAAGAACTCCTGGGTTTTTGCTCAAGTCAAGATGGAGGAGAGAATTGGAGTAGTCGTCGCTGGAGCATAAAGCCTGAGACAGAGATGTCACACCTGGAGGAAAAAGAAGGAGAATGAACAGGCCTATATAGTATAATGAACATTATATGTGTATATATATATATTATATATATATATATATATATATATATATATATATATATATATATACATATGTCGCTGCTGTCAGAACAAAACCTTATATCTCCATTTTTGTCGTTTTTCACTTTTTGCACCAGTTTGAAAATGCCTGTCGTCCTTTACATTGTATGTAAATTTAATGATAAATGGAAAGACATCTGGTTCCATTGACTTACATTAAAAGTAAAGTATGTTTTTCTTTCTCGTGTAAAGTTACCATTTTGGAGATACAAGGTTTTGTTTCGACAACAGTGGAAGCAACCAATTAGGATTTGATTTAGAATGGATGGAACCAATTTTGTGAGAAAAAGCATCACTCTAGGCCTTCTGAAAGACCTAGATACATCACTGACTGTAAATACGAGCAGTAGCATAACTAGGTTTCAGGTAGTTGTTAGGAATAGAAAACAACAGCTGCAGCTCTGTACCAGGAACACTCACTGACAGAGTTACTGTAGACATACCTATAACTTTTGCAAGTACCTAATCAGTGGACTGAATGACCAAAAATGTATATTTTTATATATAATTAACATTCCTGACAGTTTTACATCTTTTCGATATGTCATGGTATACATACATTCTTTCAAATAAAACCATTTTAATGCTTAAGTAAACCTTTTATAAGCTAACAGTGGCTTATTATTCTGGGACGTCACTTTTTAATAAGAACCATTTTTAACAACCAAAGTGAACATTTTTATTAAGCAAAAATAGTGAATCACATCTGAATTTCAACTTATTGTGCAGCTTTTTGTTTGAATTTTATGTTCCACCTTAAATAGAGCAACAGTTACACTCTGGCACCTGTACAGGACTTTTTGGGGGGTCTTTTCAGCCATGCTAACTTGCATTCCAATTATGGAGCTAACAACAACAGTGCACCATCATCCCCTACTTTGAGCTTTGCCTGCACGTAGCACTGGATTGGCATAAAAAAATCCACTCTCAGTATGTTTTGACCCTAATAAGTCAACGATCCCGCTCACATTTAGCCCCAAATTTTTCGTGGTTGTCCCCATCAGAACAGCTATGCTGTTGTCCATGATGGCGCAATCTGGCACATGTTCTATTGCTCAAATACTATAGTCTGTGATACAGTTCAATACAGTATATTAGCTGATATTGTTACGGATAGTAGAGCTGATATCTCTACTAGCTACCTTTCCATATCTCCAACTAGCCAATCATACTAACTACAAAGAACCTCAACACAAACACTTCCCAATTATGCCTTGTCAAGTGGGAAATAGGACTGTCCAATAAGCATATGAAGACAGCATATATCTTTTCTACATCTTGGTCAATTTTTAAACATTTTAACGCACGTAGAAGAAAGCCACACCACAAGTCACATTCATTAGGCCACATTCGCAGACAGCCCTGCTAGCGATCTGCTCTGATGGCAGCGTGCCACAGCCTCAAAGAGCATGCCTTATCAAATGCAGCTAACAAGGCCATTTTCCACACACTGTTCTCCCCCCACCACCCCCATCTAATGTACTTTCTCTGCGAGTACATTTTTCTTCCCTGAAACGGCTGGATCTGCTCCTGGCATTTGGAAGCTAAGTGCTGAATTCGCTTTTTAACCGTCATTCATGTCTCCGCTGCTGCTGACATTTAGCCTAGCGTTAGCATCTGTTTGTCTGGGGGATGTTGTCTTGTCACATATGTCCCCGTGATCAAGTGAACGACTCAAGCAATGATGTTAGGGCTAATCAAATCATTGGATCACATTGCAAGTGTTGGGTTACACTGGAAAAGTGCAGTGAGGAGAGGTCCGATTGATTCATCCCTTAACCTGCGCTGAAAGTCTATCCCTCTACACTGCAATGCGTATTGGAATGGGCAGCATTGGACCTCTGGGCAGTCCAGAAAAGGTGGATTTCTTTGCACTGTTCTGAGATAGTGTAGCAATAGCACTAACATTAATAGGCCACAGCAACAGCCTGATATAGTTAGCTAATCAGCTACATATATATGTATGGCTAGCTGGTTAGCTATTTTGCTGTCATCCAAACATATTCCCCCAGGGTCTCGAAGTATTGCAGTACTATTTTTATTCTAGATACATCACTGACTGCGAGCATTCGTTTAACCAGGTGTTAGGAATAGAAAGCAGCAGCAGCAGCTCCATTCCAGGGCCCTTCAATGAAAGAATCACTGTAAAACGAACAATATACAAGGTAAAATAGATTGTCGCTGTCATGACAACACCTTGTGGGGCCATTGGAGGGGGTATTTTCTAAGTGAAAAGACGTCAACACATACTCTACAGTGAACAAACTTAAATATGACATTTTTGTCTGCATATTTTAATGCACAGTTTCTCTTTAGGTGCTTAGTTGAAAGCAGCCATGTCAAACTGGGGCACCTTCCAGGCCAAATTGCTGCAGATATTAGCATTTACCCTCATCTAACACTCAGAATTCAGTTCATGAAGGCCTTGCTAATTAGCTGATGAGCTGAATCAGGTGTGTTTAATGAGGCAGTGAGCTGAAGTCTGCAGTGTTTTGGCCCACAAAGACTGAAGCCTGACACATGTGCTTTAAAGCTGCACTGGGTAAGATGTGGGGATTTGGAGACCTCTCTGGTGAAAATGTGTAATTGCACACAGTGTGTGAAAGAACATTTTATAATGTAGGTTGTGCTTCAGACCCCTTCCCCAGATGAATCTGATGACTGTGAGCATGTTGAAAGAATATTCAACCTGAGGCTTCTGACTTGTAAACAATTTTTTCAGGCTTTACAGCAGGCGTGTCAAACTGGGGACCTTCGGGGCCAAAGTGCTGCAGAGATTAGCCTTTACCCTCATTTAATCCTCTGAATTCAGTTCACGAAGGCCTTGCTAATTAGCTGGTGTTTAATGAGGCCGTGTGCTGAAGTCTGCAGTGTTTTGGCCCGCAAGGACTGGAGCCTGACACATGTGCTTCACAGGGCGCCTTTTATGCTCTTGTTTCTCCTGACTCAGTAGTGTCATTTCTTTCAGTTTTAACAAAGAAAAACAAACTATAAATTCTGACTTTTGCACAGGCCACACTTTATGTTTTATTTTTTTCCTAATACTTCAAATTCAGCAAATAAATAATAATTGTGCATTAAAATGTGCTCCCTGTAGGGGATGTTTTAACTTATTTTCCCTTAGAAAATCAACAAAATAATAGTAATTTGACCAGGGGCACCCAAAGTCTTACATAAGACTGTCTCCATCATGTCCCCATTCCGTCTTTATGTGTTTTTTCTGTGGTTTTAAAGAGTTTGTTAATAGTCTTTGGTTTATTCTATTCGTTTTTTGCATTTTATTCATATTTTTCTTAAAGACCATTTGAAGTTAAACTCTTTAAGTGCTTTAAAGATATAAACGTAACCTATTATTTGTTCTGGCAATGTGTAGCACACATCATTCATGGTGTCCTTTTTAGGCTAACTTTTAAACAGATGAAGGTGCATGTTTAGTTGCTTTTTGAAAGTAGTAGTACCTGAGAAATGACCGGTTCACTTACCTTTCATCCCTGTCATAATGTAGGCTATCTTTGCCTAAATGACTACAGCAGGCTGTGTCTCAATCTGCATAATACTGCACTAAATAGCACATTCAGAATAGTAACACCACCACTGCTGGAGTACTAATTCAACATACTTTTTAGCACAGTTTATGCAGTTTGAGACACAGCTGCAGAAAGCGCTCATACCCACATATAACAGCAATTTATCTAGTTTTTAAAAATATAATGTTTTTAGAAAGACTTGACCGGACATTAAAACAGTACCAACTGGACCACGGAGCTCAGTACAAGACTGCTCTGTTCAAAACTGGACATCTGTAACCCTACAGGCAAACTACCATGCCACTAGCAGGTAAAAATGGTAAAAAATGGTCTACCACTTAAATTACGTCTGGTCAACAGAGGTCGTGTGGTCAGAAACCAATGACTGTTTACCAATGGTGAATGGAGTGCAGGCTGAATGACAACAGATGGGCCACAATCTGCAATTCTATGCCTACGTAGTGGACCTGTAAGGTGGGTGGAGCTCATGAAGTGGCCAGTGAGTGGAAATATTAATAAAGTACAGTCGTGTGCAAAAGTTTGGGCGCCCCCAGTGAACAGAGAACACACTTAAGCACACTTCAACGCACAATAACCGGTCGTTTGGTGAATTTAAGACGTTGGAAAAAATAAGCTAAAATAAAATGGCCTGTGCAAAAGTTATGGCACACTTTATATTCTATATTTTTTTCCAGTGTGTTTAACAAATACATTATAAACTGTGGCAAAAAATGCCTCCCTTCAGAGGATGTGGCAACCCATCAACAAAATATGCCATGTGACCAGGGGTGAACTTCTGCTTTTGACTGTAGATGGTAACTGTTATCAGCTGGAGTTGGTGAGGGCATTTTTGCGAGGCCAGCAGGGGCTGCTGGTTCCCCGAGGAGACGCCAGTGCAGCACACACCCTTTGAGGAGAGCGAGGTTTTGGAGAGGTTGAGCAGACGCAGGCCTTTGCTGAGCCGACACACCTGCTGGATGAGATTTGACACTCCTGCAGAAAGAGATGCACGCATATGCTGTTAAAAATGCCTATGACCTATACGCAACATGCCAACTTGCATATACGGTACAGAAAAACAAGTGATGCTCTGACACTGCAGCGCTCAGAATAGAAATAACCACAATGCACACACACACACACACACACACACCACACACTCACAAGCCTGTGTAGGCACATGCACACATTCTATGATGTGACGAGATGGGAAGTGACATGAGTCTGACATGACTAAATGTGGCATACATTGAAACTTTGACCCTGAATAAACAGCAGAGGACACACACACACACACATACACACATTGCGTACACTTTATCAAACAAGCTGGAAATTCTGAGACAAGTGCAAAAAGCTCTGACCCACATAGAGTGAAGAAAATATGAAATGCCCTGTCACTGACAGCACTGAAACAGCGCTACTTACAGGCTAATAAACTGAGGGAATTTGATAGCAACGGGAAGCTCTACTGATCTTCCTTTTAATCTAATACCAAGTAATATGAGAGCTACTGCCATGATACCAATGGACCTCTGAAGCCGTGCTGTCACTCTGTAGTCACAGTCGTGCCCATACTAGGAACTCTGGGTCTACACTGTATTTCTCTATAACAGAAATGAACAGCGGTTTGTTCCGAAGGTGATACGTTTTGCCGTACAGACATTTTTTTTACCATGCACGTCAACGGTTCCTCTGAATTATGAGGTTATTAAGGAGCTGAAATACGACTATTGCAATATGCAAGCTAACATTGCTAACAATATGCAAGCTAACATTGCTGCGTACTGAATTGATATCATAAGACCTGGAACCTCAGCAAGATAACCCATACAAACTAACAAGCTTTATCAAGTGGTAGTTAAGTTGATTTGGCACTGTAAGTTGCAGTTTGAGGTGCTGGAGTTGGAAAATGGATCATTGTACCAACTTGGTTTAAATTCAGAGTCGATATGGTCTTAAGACTAAAATCCTTTTGCTTTGAGTGACCCTATACCTTAATTATGTTTATTTTAGTAAAACAAACGACTGAATATTTCATTTTGTCACTACCAAAACTACCAAACCTTCACCAATTGTTTCAATACTGACAATTCTAGCTCATTCTGAGCAGAACTCAAAAACACAAGCCAGTACATGACTAGCAAACATAGTTCTGAACAGCTGTACTCATGTAAAATCATAATATTTTCTTTAAAATACAAAAGTGATACTGTAAATGCAGAAAATATGTGTTTTGGTAGTGACATTTTTTTTTATGTTCCAAACTGATTTTCAGACTTTGCGATACATTTACTTCAAAACAGTGGGATCTAACTGCTCACCATGTGGCAATGAGGGACAGGGATGCAGTCTCACTTCCTGCTCTAAAATGCAGGGGTGTGGCTGAAATAAGGCTCCGCCTATAGACTAAAACTCTTTGTGTTTTGTGAAAACATGAGACAGCATTTTTTGAATTTTTTTACTGAAAAATTCACCTCATAATCAATTGAATTCATTACTATCTCAATTAAAGCCTTGGGTTTAAATAGATCATAACATAATCCTTGTAAATATCTAAGATCTGGATACTTTTGTATTCTAATAGGTCTTTTTTTACTATGGGAACTAATTCTGTAGAATGTCCCATCTTAAAGTGCTGAAGTTCCTGGGCATGATGCCAACTATAAAATGATTATTATTATTATTATTATTATGATTATTATATTAGCATTTATTAGCATTTAATGTTTTCTGTAGACTTTTATTCCACCTTGAGGGTCCTGAGGAATTGTGCAGGGGTTGTCATGATGGGTTGTAGTTTAAATCTATATATACAAGAGGTTAAGATACTTTTACCTTTATTTATACATTTGTTATCTTACAGTCACTGATGACTTTAAGGGTCTAAATTACTACAGATAATGATACTTCCACCAATGTTTCTAGTCTTTCAGAGTGGTTTGATGCTCCTGTCTAAAGAAACTTACTGAGTTACAGTCTTGGTGATAGAAACCAGACCTCTAAAGAGTTTAATGCCTGTAAAAGCTCCCTCACAGAACGTTATTACATGAAATGGTTATAAGGACTCTGCTTTATGCCTGTGAAATTGTTTGATAACACGTTTTTGGCTTAAAACATTTTTTAAATGCATTCATGGTGGAGGGGTACATGCAGGGAGCTGTAAGATAAAACAGTCCCCAAAGAATTTTTTCAGGTTTACCACAAATTTTACCATCATCAACATTACATATATGTAATGTAAAATTTAGAAGACACATGTAGGTTCACTGGTCATTTTGGATAGTGAATAAAATGGCTATATTCGTGCTGTAGACATTGTGACACCTGGTTCCTATCAGCACCACTGTAAAAAAGTTCTCTAAAGTGAATCATTTCGCATCAAACCACCCTGAATTAATTTTTAACCATCAACTATTGAATTATGCAGAAATTAAATAAAATAAATGGGTGGAATTCATCCTTACATGCTGTCTTTACTTTCCAGGGGACTGAAGTGTTTTTCGTTTCATCTTCCTCTGATTTTTAAGGAGACTAGAGCCTGAATGGGGCAGAACATTCTGATACCCAATAATATCAGCTGATATAGTTTTATATGAATATTTTAGATTAAAATTTTGTATTCTACCAGTTTTGGTTAACACTTAATGACAGATATCAATGCCATTTCTCAATTGTCACCAGTCTTAAACTCCAAAAAACAGAAGAAACCCACAGTCTTAAAAAATGTAAATATTGTAGCACTGAGGATGGGGGTTGCCAGAATTACTTTGAGGTTTTGGTTTCTGTTTATTACCTCTAATTTCTCATTAATTCTCTTTAGAAAAACATTTGTCGTACTACAACATGCTATTCTCATGCTAAAAGTTAAGTTCAGATACATTTTACATATTTTATGAAATTGATGAAATTAACCAGTTTGAATAGTTAACCAGGGTGTGTCTCATATTTGATCCCTAGTGGCACAACTATGGCTTCAGAGGGGAACTGCATCATCTGCATGCTTACTAATACAGATATATCATGGGTTATGAATACCAACTTACATCAGCCAACAAATATACACTATATGGCCAAAAGTATGTGGACATCCCTTCTAATTTTTGAGTTCAAGTGTTTCAGCTACTCCCATTGCTAACAGGTGTATAAAATCAAGCTCAAAGCCATGATCCACAGATAAACATTGTTAGTAGAATGGGTTATACTGAAGAGTTCAGTAACTATCATAGGATGCTACAAGTTAGTTTGCCCTGCTAAAGCTGCCCCAGTCCATTGTAAGTGCTATTGTTGTGAAATGAAAGCAACAACAGCTCATTCACAAAGTGGTAGACCATGCAGATACACAAATCGGAGCCGCCGAGTGCTAAAGTAGTGTGTATAAATCGCCTATCCTCAGTTGCATCACTCACTACAGAGTTCCAAACTGCCTCTGGAAGCAACATCAGCACATAGTGGTTCAACAGTAAAGTTTGGTGGAGGAGGGATAATGGGCTAGGGCTGTTTTTCAGGGTTTATTTCCAGTGAAGGATAATGTTAATGCTTCAGCATACAAAGACATTTTAGACTATTATACGCTTCCAACTTTGTGGAACCGGTTAAAGAAATATTTGATATAAAAAAGGGAACTTTTTTTGGGGAAGGCCAGCATGACTGTGCCCCTGTGCACAAAGTGAGCTCCAGACATGTCTTGATGAGTTTGGTGTGGCAGGACTCCAGTGCTCTGCACAGAGCCCTGACCTCAACCCCACTGAACACCTTTGGGATGAATTGGAACATCAGTTGAGAGCCAGGCCATCTCATCCAGCATCATTACCTGATCTTAGTGCCTTATAAACGCTCTTTTGACTGACTGGGGACAAATTCCCACAGACACTATATTGTAGAAAGCCTTCTCAGAAGAGTGGAGGCTGTTATAACTGCAAAGGGGTTGAGGGGCAACTCAAGGGATATTCATATCCATATAGATATTACGGTAAAATGTCCACATACTTTTTGCCATGTAGTGTATCCGATGGGCCCTCATGGAGACAGGCACCAGTTTACATTTACATCCACTTTTTTCTCATTTTGCAGCCTCAAATACACATAAAGTTTCATTAAAAATGAATTAAAATGACTGGTTAAAGAAAATATTACGTATCAAAAAGGAAACCTTTGTATCAAAAGGAAAATATTAATATTTAAGTATCAATTTGCTTATGCTACAATGCAACATAGTGCCAAGAGATAAGAGCAGAGGGGGAATTATAGTCAGATGGAGCCACACGCAGTGTCACCTTGATTGTCCAACGTATTGTGGGCCAAGTTGAGGGAGTGCAGCATGGACGCTGGGTTCTCCGCCAGGGCTGTTGCCATTTTCTGAGGGAAATCTCTGCCAAAAAAAAAACAAAACAAAACAACGAGTCCAACAATGAGGAGACAAAAATGAGTCGTCATTGTCAGATGAGAGATGAAAGTGTGCAGAGACAGAGGAAGAGAACAGAGGACAACAAGCAGGAGAGCCAGGGAGGAGAGAGAAACATGAAAAAACAGAGGAGAGCAAGATTGGAATAAGGACAAGGAGGACAAAGGGTCAGAAATGAACTGAATGGGCAGGCAGAGAGGAAGAGATGGAGATGAGAGGAGTGAGAGTTTAGAGAGAGAGAGAATGAGAGAGAGAGAGAATGAAAGAAAGAAGCTTACGCTTTTAGGCCTGCATTCTCCAGTGTGAGTTCTTCCAGGCTGCAGGACTTACTGATTGTGTGGAGGACCTGCTCCACGACCTCTGAACCCTACACACACACACACACACACATTGTATTTCTGTAGCCTTGACCTCAATAACAAAAATGACAATATCTTTTTTAAAGTCCTTGTTTATTATTCAGTTAATCAGTTATTCAAATTGACATTAATGTACGTTGTCTATAAACCCCAATTCCAAAAAACCAAAGACAGTATGTGAAATGCCCCTTATCTTCAAGGGTTCTTTAGTAATGACAGTGGTTCTATATAGAACCATGAACACTCAGAGAACCATTTGCATGCTTAAAGCATTCTTTGCATGGTGAAATGGTTCTTCAGACTAATGGAGAATGAGTTATATATGGTTTAAAATAGAGCTGTTTTTGAAAAGAGTTCTATATTTACAAGCTTGACATTGTTACAATAGAAGAACCATTTTGGTGCTAAATAGAACCATTTTCAAAAAGGTTCTATCTAGAATCATGTACAACACATACTCAACACAAATCAATCTGAAGAACCATATCACCATGCAAAGAAATTTTTATGCATGCAAATGGATCTTTTAGTGTTTATGGTTCTATAGTAGAACCATTGTTTTTACTACAGAACCCTTGAAGAAGTGAAGAACCTTCCACAAAGAGTGAAGTAAAGACAGAAAGCAGTGATGAATAAATCCTGTTTGACCTGCACTAAAGTTGAAAACAGTACAAAAAACACAATATTTGACATTTTGCCTCATCATTTTAATGTTTTGCTTTGTTTGTTTGTTAGTTTTTTTTGTAAATATACACTCATTCTCGATTTGTCTGCATCACCTTCCAAACAAGTTGGGACAGGAGTATGTTTACTACTGTGTTAAACCAATTGATCCTGTTTAGATTTTTTTTTTCATTTTTAAGTCTTCAGCTGCACAAACATACAGAGCCTCCATTGTCATATTTTCTGCTTTATAATGTGCTACAAATTCTAGACCACACTCTTGTTATTACGCAGCCATGCTGTTGTAACTCATGCATAATGTGGCTTCTCGTTGTCATGTTGAAATTAGCACGACCTTGGATTTTGAACTTTGCACTGGTAACAGTGGATGGTTCTTAACTCCCTTTGCCTGGAGAACACAACAACCATTATTTCCTGTTTGAAAGGTTGATTCGGCAGGCCACAATACACATTACCACCGTGCATCAGTCCACTTCATATCAGCTCGAGCCCAGAGAAGTTGGCGGCGTTTTTGGAATGTTGTTGAAATATGGCTTCCACTGTGCATTGTATAGTCTTAATGTTTTTTCTCATTTGTGGATGCAGCAACAGATGGTGCTTTTTCAGTGACATCCATCAAAGAAGCATGCCAGTTTTTAATCCAGTGCTGTCTGATGGGTTGAAGATCATGGGCACTGTGTTGTGCTTTTCGGTACTGGCATTTCAGCACAGATCTTTCTGATTCCCCTCAATCTTTTGATGCTATTATGCACTGTAGAGGGTGAAATACCTAAAATCTGTGCAACTGTTTGTTGAAAAAAGTTGTCTGACATACTTTCCTGGATGCTTCTTTTATAGCCAAGCATAACTGCATCACTGCTTAAAGGTGATTTTTTGAACACTTCACAATATTAGCCCCGTCCCTTTTTTGGAATCTGTTGCAGGTATCACTTTCAGAACGAGCGTATATTTGCAAAAAACAATGATGCTGTTAAGATAAAACATTAAATATCTTGTTTTTGTTCTGCTTTCAATTAACCCCTTAAACTCCCAGGCTTATTACATACTAAGGCATATTATTCGGTAACCACAGGGACCTCAGGGCAAACTGGCTGTGCTATTATAGATTCTAGAAGTGTGTAATAAAACTTTGGGCCTGCCAGCGGACCCTGGCCATGTAAAGGGTTAAATACAGGTCACACTGGATTTACAAATCACTACTTTCCCAGCTGTTTTTCGCAAAGTTTTTAGGGGTTTAAGGAGTTAAGTTTCCCTTCATTAAGGAGGCATTCGGTACATACACCCATACACACAATGTGCACACACATTTGCACACATAAACCCTCCCTTTCAATACGATTCCAAGATTGTACAATGGAACAGAGGCAGCCTACATAATCAGTGGGACTCGGAGAGAATACTAACGCTGCAGAAATTCAGAGAAAATGGCAAGAAGAGAGCCAGATGAGCCTAAAGCTGAACCTAAAAAAGATGCTGCGTCCCAATTGCATACAACAGGCGAACATTTTAAGTAAGGTACATATCGTTTACTGATCTTGAAAATGCATTAAATAGGAACATGCTTTTGGTCATTGTATCATATTTCCATATGGCTTTTTTGGGTGGTCAGTGAATTTTTCATGACATGATGGTATAGGGGTGCATTAGTGCACATGGCATGGGTGACGTGCACATCTGTGAAGGCACCATTAATGCTAAACGATATAATACATGTTTTTTGCAACATATGCTGCCATCCAGATGACGTCTTTTTCAGGGAAGGCCTTGATTATTGTAAAACCACATTCTGCATGTATTACAACAGCATTGCTCCGTATTAAAAGAGGCCGGGTGCTAAACTGGCCTGCCTGCAGGCCAGCCCTTTCACCCACTGAAAACATTTGGTGCATTATTAAATGGAAAATACAACAAATGAGCCCCTGAACTGCTGAGCAGTTTCTATATCAAACAAGAACGGGAAAACATTTCACTTTCAAAGCTACAGCAGTCGGTCTCCTCAGTTCCAAAACGCTTACAGACTGTTGCTAAAAGAAGAGGGGATGAAACACAGTGGTAAACATGACCCTGTCCCAACTTTTTTGGAACATTTTGTTGGCATCAAATTCAAATTGGGCATATATTTTTCAAAAAAAACAATACAATTTCTCAGTTTCAACATTTGATATGATGTCTTTGTAGTATTTTCCTTTAAAAATATGGTTTACATGATTTGCATATCATTGCATCCTATTTTTATTTACATTCTGCACAGCGTCCCAACTTTTTTGGAAATGGGGTTGTATATATACACACACATTATAGAGTGGCTAAAAGGACAAAACTCAAGGGCATCAAAAGTGGGACAACAATACGTTACAGGCAAAATATGTAGAGCTGTTATGAAGTGTTATGAGACCAGCACACACTAATCAATAATGACAACAGATAACAGAGAAGTGGGTCAAATCAAAACCCCACTGCACCAGAAGACAAAAGAGCCAATATTTACTAAGCGCAAGTCCTTGCAGTAGAGCTTGTTGAACCACGTGTTGTACGCCATGGACGCCACGATCACGGCAAGATCCCTGCAAAACAAGGAGGGAAAAAATAGGACATGGGGGAACAAAAATTAGCAGGTTTCGAAATGGGTTCCTTCAGATAAAAATTAAACCGAGCAGCTTTTCGCTTCCCAACTGAAGCCTGACAAAAATAGTACAATTGGAAGGAGAAAAAATGACACATTCAGCAGGAAATGCTCCCTGAGAGGGAAGCTAAGAGAGGAAGACAAGATCGATGGGGAAACTGACGCTGGGCTAGTGCACTACTCAGCTCAGTGTTGTCTATGATATGGCTTTTAATCCTGGCCACGGGCCTAAAACCATTTCACCCTATGAAAAAAAAAGCAGACCAGACTCTAGCAAAACTGCCTCGGGAGAGAGAGGAAGAGAGAGAGAGATGGGGAAAGAGAGATGGCGAGAGGGAGGGGAGGGGCATGTCCTCTATTAGAGCAAAGCTTATGGCTGTGTTCTCATTTGGGACTTCATCATTTCACCATGATGAGGATTCTCTGTAGTGAAGCCAAGCGCTCCATCCTCATTCTAATGCAATCATTGCACCAAAGACAAATCCCCTTAAGCTTCACAATGGGCAGTCCTGAACTGGCCACTGTACCTTGTAGGTCCAGCTTGCTGGTATACAATTAGAGACTGTAGGCATCCTTTAGCTCTTCATTAGTGGAAAATTTCTCGGCTGGACATTTCGGCCCACTCTCAGCTAGGGCTAGGCAATGTATAAGGTATTTACAATATACTGAAGATGATTCTTTTGGAAACACGCTATATGGCCAAAAGTATGTGGACATCCCTCCTAATTAATGAGTTCAGTTCACAGATTGATCAAGCACAAAGCCATGCAATCCTCATAGACAAACACTGGCAGTAGAATGTGTCAAACTGAAGAGCTCAGGTACTTTAAATGTGGCACTGCCACAGCATGTCACCTTTGCCACAAGTGAGTCTGTGAAAGTTTTGCTCTGCTAGATCTGCCTTGGTCAACTGTAAGTGCTATTATTGTGCAATGGAAACAAGAAACAGCTCAGCCACAAAGTGGTAGACCACATAAACAGATCGAGGCTGCCGAGCGCTGAAGCATGCAGCAGGTGAAAATCAATCACCCCAGCTCATGAGGAGCTTCATGAAATGGGTTTCCATGACAGAGCAGCTGCACATAAGCCTAAGACCACTATGTGCAACTCCGTATTAATGCCCATGGTTTTTGAATGGGATCTCCAACAAGCTCATAGGTGTAATGGTTGGGTGTCCACATACTTTTCTGCCAGTAACAAGACTGCATCAAGACTTGCTTTGGCAAGACTTCACAGCACTGTTGAAGAAAACAGAATGAACAGAATCAGACATGCCAGGGATCACAGGAAAGTCTCTGAGACACAAGTTCTGCACAAGGCCGCCATATAAGTTTAACAGCCATCATGATGTCTGACTGCAAAAGCCTATCAAAACTAACCTTTGTCTTCTAGATGGCTGGTTGACGCAGGTCGAACTGCAGCTGCAGCTAATACCAAATCACTCTACATCCTACAAGTCAAAGACTAAGAATAGACAGGACTTCCTTTTTCTCGCTCTGACGTACAGTTTCTGTGGGTAAAGTGTCAAGAATGGAGGCTATTTCTGCAGGTCTGAGGCTGCATGAAAATGACTCTGCAGGACGTGTCGGTGTAGATTCTGCCTGGCATCAGCAACCCCCCCTTGGGTTCTAGAGACAGAGACAGCAGGGAAAACTTGACACCGATTGGCCGGATGGAAGAGAACACTGCTGAGAGTGATACTCCCACCACACAGGAAGTCAACCCTCAGTTGTCCTAATAAGAGCCCATGCTGTCACATACATCGTTCACACATGTTAACATAGAACTCTCTCTCAGTTTCCCAGAGCCAAGATATATATAATGGTTAATGTTTTTCCCCCGCGCTATATTCATTCTAGCCACAGCCAACTGCTAAGATCGCCTGTCTAAAAGACAGCTGCATTACCACGTAGTAAATAGCACTGTCAAGGAGGAGAACACTTAAAACCCGGCCACTGGACAACAAATGACCTGCACTCTGCACTGACTTTTTCAGAAACTTCAGCTTTGTACTTCGCCTCACTGACCACCTGGGTCCTTCTCCATTAGGAGTGGGAATTCAAGTGGATACATTTTTTAAAAAATTCCAAATTATTCCAAAACTAAATCATCTTAATGTGTCCATTAACATCTCCTATTATTGTATATGCAGAAAGGAGAACTTAATTCCAAACATATTTTACAGTCATTGGTGTTATATGACTATGGTGTAACACCAGTGACTGTGACTCCAGTGACATTCTGGTTAAAACTGAGGATTCTGTAAACTGGCTGACTCATTGGTGGTCAGGTGACCTTGTGTATTTAAAATCAATAATAAAAATGATATTTGGCATTATTTTGACAAAAGTTTCATTACCCAGCCATTAAAGCACATAACACTGGTGACACATAGAAGTTCTGTGCTGCCTGATAACCAAAATTATTAATAAATTAATGAAATTTAATGAGCAAGTGTGACTCGACTTCTCATGCCTCGAGATGCTTCCTCTTTGATGAGCCTCGACCCAAAGAAGCAGTTTAATAGAGCTGATAATACTGTGTTAAAATGAAACATAAAAGTCCTGATAATACCAGTGACTAAAAACTCGGTGACTCTGTGAATTCTTGAAATAAAATAAATTTAAAAAATGAATTGGTCAGCTTCAGCTACTGGTCAGCTAATTCGGCTGTGGTTTGTTCTCAGCAGCAATGACACTGATGGTAGTGTGGTGTGCGTGTGGTGTTGGTACATGGTGTTGCTAGAGTTTCTATACACGTCAGTGTGACTGCTAGATTGGCCCACAACTTTCTGATCAGAGCGGTCAGAAGCTGACCAGTGGTGAGAGGCGACAGGATGGCTAACACAAATTGCTTCCAGTCTGTAAAGCCACAAGTTGGACCTACAAAGTAATTGTTTCTAAGAAAGTGGCCGTGAGCGCACAGGACAGTATGTAACCTTCACTGTATATTTTAATCAGATGAATTGCTTTAAAAAAATAAAGCTGGTGAATAAAGCAAAAAAAGTAGGCAGTCGTTAAGAATAGAAAAGAATATGAGTGACTGCTTTTGTTCACTCTACCTGCTTTCAAGGTGGCTGAAGTCTAACAGGTTAAAGTCCCTGTTGTCCTGGGAGTGGTAAATAGTGTCCACATCCTTAAAAAATGAGAAAATGAGCAAAAGAGAGGGAAAGAATGATTAGATTTCAAGCAAAATGATGCTTTTTTTTAACAGACAGATGGAATTGTATAATACAGAGTTTCCATACGTCACTCAGCTCTTACCCACTGCACTTCCTCTTTGCAGCTGATGCCGTTATAGTCGCACAGGGCCGCGTAGGTCTCTGAGAAGCCTCCTGAAACGGCCGGGAGAGCACAGCCAAATCAACAGTGTGAAATCAACTCCCACAGAGCTTTTGTGGGCAGACTAGTGAATTTTGTCAGAGTTAATTTCATACTGGTGGCTCTGCTGCATGTCAGAGAGACACAGAGCAGAGAAAGAAACAGTGACATCACTGTGGAAGGAAGCTAAGGGAGCTGACCAAGGAGAGAAAATGAGACCCACAGCATCAAAGCTTTAGATTACACACTTCTTTGCACAGTGTCCTTGAAAGCAAGAGGGCTGAAACGTTAGCATTTGCTAGAAATCAGTCACCAAAGTGCTACTGGGACAAGATTAGTTTTACATGGGGAAGTGAGGTTATGTAGTTTTAGCACAGGATGTCTGTTATGTTAATGACCCGTTCACACTGGATAAGAAGTCTTAGTTTGTTACTGGCATTGTGTCATAAACAGAGTGTCCACTCACTGTCCACTCTGTTAGACACTCCTACCTTGTTGGTCCACCTTGTAGATGTAAGATCAGAGACAATAGCTCATCTACTGCTACACAGTTTGTGTTGGTCATACTCTAGTCCTTTATAAGTGGTCACAGAACGCTGCCCACAGGACGCTGTTGGCTGGATATTTTGGGTCGGTGGACTGTTCTCAGTCCAGCAGTGACACTGAGGTGTTTAAAAACTCCAGCAGCACTGCTGTGTCTGATCCACTTATGTCACTGCCACACACTCTAACACACCACCACCACGTCAGATATGCAGACGTAATGCTAGCACTGATGTTAAGATAGAGTGCATCTACTTACACTCAGTAAATTGATCATAATCAGATTTCTGCAGTTATCTGATTATTTAAATGGTCCTGTGAACAACATACTCTGATTTCTTATGTCAGAGTAAAGTCTAGAAATCCGATTAAGAAATCTGATAAAGAGAGCTGAATTTTAAGTCAGTTATCAGATTTCTCAGTGCATTTGTACTCTTACTCTGATTTCTTTCAGATTTCTCAGTTTGTGCATGTGTGAAAACAGGCAGCAGTACCAGAAATAAACAAGCAGCGTTGCCACAAGACGCAGCAAAACACTTTTGGAGCGACGCTGAAACCAAATACATGCTTGACAAAATGAAAGATTTAAATATTCTTCATCTCCTAGATGACGTATGTTCATATTTTCAGGTAAAGTGGTGCGATGTTTTTTTAAAAAGAGCCGCACCATGAAGTTTGAGTTTTACTTTACATTTACGTCACGTCTTTTTCTGAGTTTATTGGCTGCCTGCAAAGCAGAAACCTGATTACTGCCAGACTCATGTAGACCCAGAGTTTCCCCATTATCTGATTACTCAAGTGCATGTAAACACGTTGATTGTATTACTGACAAAATCTGATTCTCTGCAGTTATCGGACTATTAAGTGCATGTAAACGCACTCATAGATAGCTTCAGTGTTGGGGTAATTCAATACAAGTTACTAATTATTTCTATCAAACTGTAACAGGATTACTTTTCTGATTACGTCTTGGGAAAAGTCATCTCAGTGCTCATTATTTTTTTTATTATTTTACTTCTGCTTTACTGGTACAAAATTATCTCACTATATTGGCAGATCATTTTATTTCTTAAAACACGCAAAATCATCTGTCAACATAGTGAGATAATTTCACTTAACAAAAAGTACTTGTCTCAAAATAAGTGAAATAATCTTATACTCAGCAATCTGACAATGATTTCACTTGTCAAGATAGCATTTTTGTAGACGGTTGCATCACTAATTTAAAAATGTGCCCTATTCCTGTCATCACTCCAGAATAACTGCACTGCATTCTGAGACAGGACAATAGGTATCAGCCTGATTTGGGCCACTGAGAATACAAATATATGCTTCTTTGATTGTCTCTATACTTCAACACCCTGAATGTGTCTTTTCCTCAGGATATGATGGAATATTTACTAACACAGAATTCTGCATTAATACAATCCACATAACCTGAGGTTATTTCTACCGTTCGTTTTATAGTAGTTAAAAGGCAGCGTAATCTTTACTGATGTGGAAACACACAGTACAGTCTGTAAAAATGACAGATTCGTATTGGACAAAAATCACGGAGAATTTTTACCCAACCTCCCCATGTAAAACCAATCCCATCTGCATAGTACAATTAGTCTAGTTACTCATAGGAGGCTTAACCAACAGTTATGATGCTAAAGAAATCTTTTGAAAAGCTTTTACACAAAGCCCTGCTTTATTTATCTCATATAAGTAAAAACAAAGCATGACCAAGCCTTATTAACGTGTGGGAATGAGATAATTAAGTCGTGGTGGCCATGACTTAGTAAGGCGTGGGAACGAGATCATGCCTTATCTTGTTCCCACACTTTACTAAGTCATGGCCATGCATTATTTTTATTTATACAGGATGCCATCAGGGGGGCTCCGTACTTTTGGCCTAAGATGGCTTGTATTTTAAAATTCATGGCAGAGTGGTACATGCAGGGTGTATTAAGACAAAAAGTCCTTAAATTTACCACTATTTTACAATCATCATCATCTTTTAAAGACTCAGAAGACACCAGTAGGTTCACTTGGTCATTTTAGATAATAAATAGAAAGGCTGTGTTTGTGTTGTAGATATCACAACCCCTGGTTCTTATCACCACCACTGTAAAGAAAATCTCTCTGAGTGTAATTCTCTTTAAAGGCATTATCCATGATAAAAACCTTTTACCCATCCAGGGAGTAAAGGCTGTAAAAATGAAGTGCAGACCACTGGGTCAGGGTGACATTCGCCCTCCCCAAATACTGGCACCCCTGGTAAACCTGAGCAAAACAGGCTGTAAAAAATTCTTTATTGCTGATCCTTTTGATCTTTCGTTCAAAATATTAACAAAAATCTATCCTTTATTTGAAGTACAATCATTAAAAAAAAAATGAAATAAATATTTTTCTCGAATCTGTATGTGCCACAAAAGTTGGCACCCCCTCATTTAATACTTTGTGCAGCCTCCCTTTGCAAAGATAACAGCTCTGAGTCTTTGATAGTGCTTAATGAGACTAGAGAAAACATGGCAAAGGATCTGAGACAAATTTCTCCATCCCAGACCTCTCCAGACCCTTCAGATTCTCCTCTTCAGCTCATCCTACAGGTTTTCTGTGGGGTTTAGGTCAGGGGACTGGGGACGGCCATGGCAAAACTTTGATTCTGTGGTCAGTGAACCATTTTTGTTTTGATTTTGAGGTGTACTTTGGATCATTGTAGCGCTGGAAACTATAGATCCACCACCATACTTCACAGTAGGGATCAAGCACCTTTCTGCATGGCTATCTTAGTGTCCACACCAAACTCACCTCTGGTGTTTTTTGCCAAAAACCTCTATTTTGGTCTCATCTGACCACAGAACACAGTCCCACTGAAAGTTCCAGAAACACTGGGCAAATTGTAGGAGCTTGAGTCTGTTGGTCCTTCACAGTAGAGGCCTTCTCCTGGTGTTTGTAGTTTGGGAGACGTCCTGACCCCAAGACCTAACTAACGTCTAATGTCATTCCCCATCTGTGATCCTTGGAGATTCTTTGTCCACTTGAACCATATTCCTCACTGTGCATGAGGTCAGTACAAACATACATCCTCTTCTCGGCAGATTCTTATTATCTCCAGATGCTTTAAACTTCTTAATTATTGACCTGATAGTGGAAATTGGCAATTTCAATTTGAGAATATACTTCATTTAGATTTCTCTCATAAGATTTTCTAGGGATGCCAACAATTGTGGCACATAGCTTTAATAAAAATAGTCAAATCATGACAAGATTTAGTGTTTTCTTTAGACCTTAAATAAAGGTTAGATGTTTAATATTTTGAATGCAAGATCAAAAGTAAGTAAGTATCTCTTTTACAGCTCATTTTTCTCATTATTACCAGGGGTCCCACTATCTGTATAGGCCACTGTATACGTGAGCAGGTCTTTATATGTGTGAGTATGCGTAACGATTTTCCTTACCACACGCCCTTTGGGTCTCCACTGACGTTTCAGAGTTCGGGGAAAATTTATGACCCCCATCCGAGACATCTCCATCTGTTTGAAAGATAGAGGGTCTAAGGAGAGAGAAAGAAAGATAAAGGAGAATTCAGATTTCATTCCTACTGCACCAATATGCGCATACCAACTCGGCATGTGAACACCTGCCTCCGAGGTTTGAAAAAGGATCTGCTACTATGGGAGAGAGAGAGAGTGCAGTAATGCATTCTCATAACCTCGAGGAGATAGAGCCTGGCTAATGCGTCTACAGAGGTTTTTTCAATCTCCACTCCTTCGCTCACTCAGTCTTGTGTGAAAAGAGCTCAGTGAGCAGTGGTGAAAAATTGACACACTTCCCCTCTTTAGCCCAAATGCAGTTGATCAGAAAAGACATATTTGCTATCTAAACTTAATTCTGATCCGCAGCTATCAGGCTAAAATTGCGAGGAAGTAATGGAAGCCTTACAGTGCCGTGAAAAAGTGGACTTGCTTGTGCTTTGGATCATTGTTTTGAAGCATAACCCAACCTTGCTTGAGCTTCAGATCATGGACTCTAGGATTTACTGGTAGACAGCGAAATTCGTCATTCTGCCAATTATGGCAAGTCACCCAGGCCATGAGGCAGCAAAGCATCCCCACACCATCACACTACCACCACCATGTTTTACTGTTGGTATGATGTTCTTATTGTGGAATACGGTGTTGGCTTTATGCCACTTGTAACAGGACCCCTCGCTTCCAAAAAGTTGGGGCCATCAAGGTCTTTTCTGGCAAACATGAGATGAGACTTTATGTTCCTCTCGGTTAGCAGTGGTTTCCATCTAGCAACTTACCCATGGAAACCATTTTTGTTTTTTTTTCTTAGGGTGGAATCTGAGGTGAGCAAGGTCTGCAGATCCTTAGATGTTCATCTGGGTTCTTTTATAACTTCCTGGATGAGTCATTGCTGTGCTCTTGGAGAAATTTAGGCCGGCCAATTTTGGGAAGATTCACCACTGATCCAAGTTTTCTCCATTTGGAGATAATGGCTTCCTCTGTGGTGCACTGGAGTCCCAGAGCCTTAGAACTGACTCTGTAAGCCATTTCAATACGTTTTCACTTCCAGAATTTCATTGCAGCATAGTGTGCTGCTTGTTGAGACCTTTTAGCCTACTTGACATAGTGGGAAACTGTTTAAGTGACGTTTAGATTCCACAGGGCTGATAATAATGAAGCCTGTTATGTGTCTAGTCTAATTGACCATTGACATGTTTCCTTCAGTAAATGAAATAATCATTTAAAAACTGTTTATTTAGGTTGTCTTTGCCTTATATTAAATTGTGTTTGAAGATCTGAAACAATTAAGTGCATGCAAAAAATAGCAGAAATCATCAGGGGACAAGTCTTTTCTCACGGCACTGTATCCTTCTCTGATTAGCACTGTGCAAACTGCATACCTAAATTATCACATACTTGCCTCAAACCGTGATGAGTTGCTGATTAATTATACACAGACACTGCATAACAAGCTGTTACCCAAAAAAATGTTGCATAGCTAAAGATGGTAGTAGCAGCAAGGGCAAACAGATATTTGAAAGTTTGAATATTTAAGGAATAAAATGCACTCAGACAGTGGCTGATCAAGCTAGCAGACCTGTAGATCCATCTAACCACTTCACCAACATCTGTTTTCTAATGATAAGCCTGGTAAACATTGAGAAAGATGGCTCATGTACGGGAACAACCCTTTTGCAAAGTGGTAAGTCTAATTTTTAATATATTGTATTAGTGACCAGCCACTGTGTTCGAAGGTGAGGTGTGACCCGGTGCCTGGGCCGACACCAACGAGGCGGGATAAGAGAAGCGAAGCCTCCGTATAAAGTTCAGTAGGCAGGGGCTGCTCTAAAGGTGCCCTCTGGAAATTGATGGCAGCTCAGGCGTGCTCTCCAGAGCACACAGTGGCAGTGTGGCCGCTACAGGACACCAGGCAGCGCTGTCAACCGCACCTGCTCCAGGACACCCGCCAGGGCACCTGGCGGCACTGTCAACATGGGCGGCAGCTCTGGGGAGCTCTCCAGAGCACCAGGCGGTACTGTCGACACTGGTGGTGGCTCTGGAATGTCCACCGGAGCACCAAGGTGCTGTCAACCCTAGCGCTGCCTCTGGAGTGTCCTTCAGGACACCAGGCAGCACTATTGACGCTGGTGGTGGTTCTTGAGTGTCCTCCATGACACCAGGTGGCGCTGCTGACACTGACAGCAGCTCTGGAGTGTTCTCTGGGACACCAGGCAGTGCTCAGGTCTCAGATCGTAGCAGCTACTCTGGCCAGGGAGAGTCCTCTTCCTCCTCCATGGGCCTGCCCACTCCAGGCCCACCGATCCCACCCCTGCGAAACGGCAAAAGGGGAGAAGCTAAGGCCAGGTGAAAGGGAGAGGGAGACACCAGATCCAGGCAGACAGGGGCAGAGGCTGTCATGCTCCTCATCTTCTAGTGGGAAAAGCATTGCATCCATGAGGGTCAGGAGGCAGTGGGTGGGCTATGACATAGGGTTGTCGACCTCCCCAGGCCCAAAGACCCACTCCACGCTGTCACTGTCCTCATCCTCTGGGGAACAGACGTCATCAGCAAAGGTCCTTTCTTTCTAAAACACCACATGCACCAGTCCCATACCGGTGGCACCAGGTGCCGTCTTTCCTCCGTAGGCGTAGGGGCCCAATTAAGGTACTCCAGAGGGTTGAGGAAGATGGGGGTAAATTACTTGCCCTTCTGGCCTTTTTTTGCTTTCTTTGTCTTTTTTTATTATTTTAAATGAATGCAAGAAACAAAAAAAACTAACGGCACTCGTGCCAGAGCTGCTCGAATCCCGGTCACAGGACCTGCCCAGAAAGTGACGGTGCCCACGTTCTCCACCAATATAGCACAGCCAGGGAAGGGGCCGACGCATACTGACTGGGAAACCCAAGAAGAGCTCGGAGACACACACAAAAACCAGCACGAGTGAACTAAAGTGCTTTATTTACACATTTCTTCGTGAAACAAAACGAAAACTTAACTCAAAGTTGGTCTCAGTCTTTAAAGAGTCCTTTCTTTTTCTTTGTCTCTCTTTCTGATGTGCATTTAGCTGAGAGGGGAGCGTCTTCTACTCTTTCATGCTCGAGAGACCCAGTCTTTAAAGCATCCATGCTCCTACCCTCAGTTGTGTTGAGAGGAGCAGCCCGCACGTGTCTGTGTGGGGCACGCTTCACTTCTCCACTGCCACAATATGTTTAGAATGACAATGTGATATCAGTAATATAGGTCTGATAAGCCTTCATACCTTGTATGCAAAATGATCATATTCTTACTTGTCTTCGCTGTAATAGTACAAATCTAAAGAGTCAAGTCAAGGCTCATTAGCTTACATCCTTGCTAGTTAGCTCAATTTTTCGGTTGTACTGAAATGAAACGAAATACTTTGTGCATGCACTTACAAACATGTCTAAATTTACCCAGCCAAATGAGCAGAGTCAAGCAAAGCTTACATTTTTTTGTCTTGAAAGTGTGGAATGACATATTAGCTATTTTAGTTACTATTTAGTTAGAGTTCTAGCTCACTGTAAATAATAATAACATGCTTTTCTTCACTTCTTCAAATAATTACACCAAACCATGTGTGGGACCAAACATAGCTTATTGTTTCTATGTGGAATGTAGAAAATATGAGCAAAGACACTCACATTAGTGTTAGATGATAACAACGTTAGCGTTAACTTCCTAATTAGCTAGATAAATTATGGCAGAGTAGCATCGAACATTCTGAAGCACTGGTAAAAGATTAGGAAACTCAACAAGGGAAGGTTTTCGCATTAGGTCGCTCCCAGTATCACTTACGAGCATCACAGTGGAAAGTACTAAACATGTACTTAAAATGGTTGTTTTAAATATCAGGGCGCTCAGAAGCAAAACTGCATTTGATAGCAATCTTATCAGCGACAACAGTGTAGATTTGATGCACTTATCTGACTGAAAAACAGTATTCTGTAACTTTCTGTGACATATGCTGTGGTGTACCACAGGGGTCTCTCGTTGGGCCACTTCTTTTTTATTATATAGGCTGCCGCTTGGCCGTATTATCCATGAACATGGACGTTGCGTGGACGTTCCACAGCTATGCAGATGACACATAGCCATACATTTATGTTGCACTTGGTTATATAGGTGCAGTTTAACTGTTTGCCCAGTATAACTTGGATGAACAGCAACTTCTTGAAAATGAATGAGGATAAAAATAAAATTCTACTGATTCTTCTATCTGCTGAGCAAAAATTATTAATAAACTAGGAAGTTTGGCAACACATGACAACAAACTGAAGTGCGAGACTTGGGCGTTATTCTTGACCCTAATCTCAGTTTCAAGTCTTATATTGATAGCGTAATCAAAGCAGCATTCTTTCATCTTAGAAACACTGCGAAAGTCAGACCTTATATCACACTGCATGATTCAAAGTTGACTCATGCTTTCGTTTTCTGTTATTTCACTGTTCACTGGCTTACCCAAAATAAGCATAGAGAAACTACAGCTTGTACAGAATGCAACAGGAAGAGTTCTTACTTGAACATGTAAAAAATGAATGCTACTCAAGCACTGTCAGCTATTCACTGGCTTCTTGTTCAATACAGAACAAAAACGCAAAAAAGTGGTGAGGTTGGATTTAACTCTGGAACTCCCTCCATACATAAAAGCAGCTTAAATATATCTTTTCTTGCCTTTCTCTAATGTAATGATATCATCGGACTATCATGCAACTATTTATTTTTATATTTATTTTATTTTCCTTATTTCATTTTTAAATGTTTTATTATGTGATACACATTCTTGTTTCATTATTCTCTTATATTTTATACTTCTTTATTTTTATTATTGGAATTTTTTAGACATATTTGTTTATTTATTTATTTTTTATACATTTATATTTTCCCTTATTTTCTTAGTGTTTTCCTTTCTCTGTTTTCTCTTTCTTCTCTTATGCTGGTTTTTATTTGCCTTTGTCGTTGTAAAACACTTTCAGCTGCATTTCAGTGTACGAAAGGAGCTATTTATTTGTTTCTTCTTCTTCTACTTTTTCTTCTTCTTCTTCTTATTCTTATTCTTATTATTATATTATTATTATTAGTACCAAAACCCATAAAACTGAAACCTTTGGTCCTGGACCAGTGAGCAAGGGATAGGCCTGGATCATCAAGTTATTGGCCCCTGGGTACAAATGTTTGGTAGACCACTACTTTTTTTTGGGTGGTCAGTGAATTTTTAATGACATCACAGCAGGTTACATGAGGCCTTTACAGTGCCACGACTGCAGCACACTACACAGTGCTGAGCATGCCACTGCTATAAGCGCATCATTTTTCCAATCGAGACAGGACAATAGCAAGATTAGCATAAATGAGAGCACAGCTTAATGTAACCCCAACAACCAGTGCAACACTTCCCTATGAGCATGCATCTGCACTTCACAAGCAACACATTTACCTCAAAGAAAACGACAAATTAAAATCAGCTGAAATGTACACAAAGACGGAAAATGGCAGCAAACTTAAAACCCCCAGACTGTCAAGAATCCTAGCTGAAGCATACTGCCACAGCGAGCGTGGAAAATGTTTTTCTTTTCATTTATATCTTACCCCTGATGACAGTTCACAGATCACTGCTGACAAAGATGAATCAAGTTTTCCAGAACTTCAAATGCAAAGTACATTCAAAGAATGTTAGCTCACTACTACAAAACCTGAAAGCTTGACCGAGGTAATGACGACATCTTGGCATGTCTCACTGACATCTCTACCTGGATGGCAGCTCACCACCTGAAGCTCAATCCTAGCAAGACTGAGCTGCTGTTCATCCCTGCAACTACAGGTCCTCATCATGATCTTGCCATCTCATTAGTGAGCTCTCTGATTGTTCCATCTGAAGATGCAAGAAGTCTTGGTGTGATTCTGGATGGCCAGTTATCGTTTTCAGCTCATATGGCGAACCTGACTCAGCCACGCAGGTTTCTCCTGTACAACATCTGGAGGATTCGACCCTTTCTCACTCAAGAGGCCACACTCAGTCGCTCGTTCAGTCCCTTGTCATCTCAAGGCTTGACTACTGCAACTCGCTGTTGGCTGGTCTTCCTATGCAGGCTATCAAACCCCTGCAACTCGTCCAGAATGCAGCAGCACGGCTCGTCTTCAATCTTCCTAAGTTCACTCACGTCACTCCACTGCTGAGCTCCCCTCACTGGCTTCCTGTAGCTGCATGCATCAGATTCAAAACCCTGATGCTTACCTACAAAGCCAAAAACGGACCAGCCCCTCCCTACCCAATGGCAATGGTCAAAACTCGAAGTGTACCTCGAGCCCTTGGAGCTTCAAGTACAGCATGGCTTGACCAGCCATCCTTCAAGATACGTGGAAGACAAGCATCAAGTCCTGGAACGAACTTCCACTGGCTGTCCAAGATACTTTCTCTGGGTAGACAACAAAGCACTTTTTGTAAGTCGCTCTGGATAAGAGCGTCTGCTAAATGCTGTAAATGTAAATGAATAGTGTAACAGTTATTTAGCAGTGATTGAAGGAGAAACTGAAGCTGACATTGAGGAATGACTTGGAGAGCATCAGGTTTAGGATTGGCTGTAACACAACAACAAATTTATTCATTTTAGTCCACTGTGCTGCTAGTAAATTTCCCACCCTGAGTCAAAACAGCTGTTTAGATTTTCTTGTAATTGCTTCCGGTGGGGAGTTAGTAGAGGAGGCCTAGTGGCTCAGATCCCTAGGCACATGCCAACACAACCCAGTGAATGATCCAGGCCTACCAATGGAAAAAAGCATAGTTCCATTTTTCTGCTGCCAGAAGTTCTGATAGTTTGTGCAGGGGAAAAAAAAATGCTCATAGAAATGGTTGAATATTTCTAAATCAATAAAATAAAAAATCATATTCAATTTCTGAGCCCAGTTGACAGCTCTAGTAGCAACTATCTTAAAGTCTGAATTTTATCAGCATTACTTCTGTCCATTTTGCTGACCTCTTTTAATGAATGAACACTTATTAGACATGCTAGTAGGCCTGTTATGTAAATGGTAACACTTTTAGCGCTCACCTCTCATTGATTATTAACAAGTTTTGCATTTCTGGGTAAAGCATTCCTTTAAACATCTCCTGCATGCCTGAGAAACTGATATTTGAACCAAGACTTCAAGTGATGACAATGCTGCCAGTGAGGCATGCGGAGGGGAAAGAAACTGCCATCCCTTTTTTTGGAAACTCACGCGTAGATGGAGTTGTTGAAGATGCGCGAGAGAGCGAAGTTGACATGGCTGAGCAGCTGATCCAGGTGGTCACTTGACTGCAACCTGAGGGAGTAGGTGGACTTATCTGTTTCTATGACAACCTGAGAGGAGAAAGAGAGTTGGAGAGAGAAAGAGAGTTACAACACTTCACTGAAGCACTGCTGTGAACAAGAGCCAAAGAAGAGTGCTGGGAGTTGGGCACTAACTCAAATGGCAGAATGCCTCTCTTTTGTTTCTCACCTGGTTGTCTGGATGAGTGCTCATTCCACGAATCTCTAGGAAGTTAAATGTTTGCTCCACCTAAATCCGTAACAAAAAACAACAACACGAAAGTAAGCTATGAAAGTAAACCATGAAGTATTGAAAGTGTAGCGTATTATATATTCTGAGGGCTACTGCACCTTGGTGGGTATTTTCGGAGCCATGAGGTAAAGCCGCCATGTCGCCAAGACCTTAAAATCAGAAAAAGAAAGGTATTACGTTATGTACACACTATGTCCAAATGTATGTCCACTTGCTGGACCTTCACTATAGACGTTTAACTCCTTAAAATTCCAGGTGTATTTACAAGGCTTGTTATTCAGTAACCATAGGCACTTCAATGCAAACTAATGGAGGTATTCCTAGCTTATAGCTAAGAGTGTGTGATAAAACTTTGGGCTTGTTAAAAGGTTAAAATCGACTGTTGAAACAAAAATGACTTTACTTAAACAGGAATTCTACCAATTTTGCCAACTTTCTGCATAACTCAATGGTTAAGATGTAAACAAAGTCATTCAGAGTGATCTCTAGAGAATTGTTCACAGTGGTGCTGACAGGAACCAGACATCTGAAAAGTTGAATGCCTCTAGAAACTCCCTTATAGAAAGTTATTATATTAAATAGCTATGAATATGTAGTTTACACATAGTTACATAGTTTTAAAATAAAGTTTTTGGCCTAAAACCTATTATTTCCAATACATTTATGGCAAAGTGGTACACAAAGGAAGTTGTGAGGCACAAAGAAAATATATTTTTTAAGATATATTTAAGAGAACATCTCATACAAAAACTCACCGGTTCACTGGTCATTTTAGATATTTTAGACATTTTAGTAAAATGGCTATATTTGTGTTGCAGATGTTGTGACCTCTCACCACCACTGTAAGAACACTCAAAGCACTCTGAATGACTTTGTTTACAACACAGAGGTTGAATTTTCCAGACTGTACTCAGCATTTGCAATTATATTCCTGCAACACAGGGAGTTGACAGTCCCCGAGATCGTTTAACTACTCTATCATCCGTCACAAGGGCTGGGTGATGTTAATATGCAAATGTCATTATTGCAATATTAATTTCTTTTCATCTGTCATGACAAAGCTCAAACACCAGCTTTCATAAGTAATTCGTACCTATTTATTCCAATGTACTGCATTTATCTTAGTCAACAGTGTTGAGCATTAAGTGCAGTGCAATGCAGTGTGTAATTATTGCTAAATAAGTAAATAACATTGCCTTCCCCCTCAAGTGACTAAGCAATATTTACGTCAAGTGAGGTCAAGCCCAACCTCCAGTGTTTCCATAATTAGGATCATAAGCATCTGTGATAATCTCACAGAGGATGGTGATGATACAATGAGCCGAAGCTTGGAATAATAACTGAAAACCATGGCCGTCTGCAGTAAAGTGTGCAAAAATAAGCAGCCCATATTTCGTCATCAGTCTCAATGCTGATACCTCAATCCTGCTGGCTTGCGTTTTTATTTGTCAGGCTGGAGCGTTACATAATGCAACAATAGTGTTCATTCAAGAGGGGATTTTGAAGAGAGGATTTCAGAGTGCGCAGAGAATAGGGTTGCGGTACAAATTTAAATATCAAATTCAATGTTTTTTAATACCTTTTTCTCCGCATTGCAACGCAGACAAATATGGTATGTGTTAATTCTGTTTTGTGCAAAAATATGGAACATGGTCTTTATGGACATCAGTTTTGCCATCCCCTAACCCCATAACTGGTCAGTTTCTGACCACAGGACTAATTTCAGCTTGGTAGTTTTGGTGGGCTGACTGTTCTGAATTAGTTTAATATATAAAACTGCCTGTTGAGGAATTTTCTTACAATTTAGGTAAGATTCTAAGCTGCCGATGAATAAATAAAAGTAAAATGATTTTTTTAGTATGTGCATATTTGTAGCCTAGCTTTTAGCTTACTGTTTAGAATGTTCCCACTTTATTGATCTAATTGATGTGGCTACGGGTCACTTTAATATGCAGTAATGTGCATGGTGGTGCACTTTGAAATTACATGTGGCCAAAAGTATGTGGACACCCCTCGTAACACCCACTGCTAACAGTTGTATAATATCAAACACACAGCCATCAATTTCCATAGACAATTTTGGCAGTTGAATGGGTCGTGCTAAAGAGCTTAGTGACTTTAAACGTGACACTGTCATAGGCTACCTTTGCCACAAGTCAGTTCACGAAAGTTCTTACCTGCTAGATCTGCCCCTGTCAACTGTAAGTGCTGTTGATGTAAAATAGATGCATGTAGGAGCAACAACAGCTCAGCCACGCAGCGGTAGACCATGCAAACTCACAGAGTGGGGCTGGCGGGTGCTGAAGTACATATAAATAACCTGTCCTCTGTTGCATTTCTCATGACAGAGTTCCAAACCGCCTCTGTAGGCAGCAACAGCACAACAACTGTGGATCAAGAGCTTCATGAAATGGGTTTCAATAGCTAAGCAGTGGTACACAAGCCTAAGATCACTATGCGCAATGCTGAGCTACGCCTGAAGTTGTGTAAAATGTTCCGCCAGTGGACTCAGGAGTAGTGGAAACGTGTTCTCTAGAGTTCTCTAGAGTGATCAATCCCACTTGAATAATGGTCTGGGAGTGTTTTCATGGTTTGGGCCCCTTAGTTCCAGTGAAGGGTAATGTTAATGCTACATCAAACAAATATATTTTAAACAGTTATATCATTCCAACTTTCTGGCAACAATTTGGGGAAGGCCCTTTCTTGTTCCAGCATGACTTTGCCCCTGTGTACAAAGTGAGGTACATAAAGACATGGTTGGTGTCGAGGAACTCCAGTAGCCTCAACAGAGCCCTGACCTCAACCCCACTGAACACCTCTGGGATGAATTGAAATGTCTCGTCTTCTCGTCCAATATCAGTGCCTGACCTCACAAATGCTCTTTTGACTGAATGGACACAAATTCTTACCCAAGGCTTCCCAAGTTATAGCTGCAAAGAGGGGGCCAATGCCATATTAATGCCCTTGGTTTTGGTCAGGTGTCCACATACCTTTGGCCATATAGTGTGTCTACTCTTTCTTTTGAGGACTAATTATAGGAAATAACCATTAAAGTGTCACAAAGTCCTCACGTAAATGTATGGCACCTCTACAGTAGTGGTGTAAACACGAAAAGAAGAAATGGAACCTGCTTGATTACAAATATACCTGGACATATTATAACATATTATATGATATTACATTTTTCAAATTTATTTTAAGACTTTATAAGACTTTGAAAGGATCTGCAGGAACCCTGGACACAGGGCTTACCTAGTTTTGCAAATATTGCTTGGCACTGGGTTGTGCTGAGTATGCGCTTGTTTAAATTTGATGCCAATATGTGACGGCAAGCGAGAAAAGGAGCAAGAAGGGCAGCAGAGGAGGAGGCCACGAGAAGGAGGAATAAGAATAAGACTCTGTGTGATGTCTGGGGGGATTACGGGAGCGTGCAAAAAGGAGGTTTGTGTTGTACCAGACGTTGAGGGAGAGAAAGAGAGCCTATGCAAAACAGCAGCATCAACTCCAGAGAACTACTTAATCTCATTCATAATTTAAAGCACCTAATTAGCATACCAAGTTGAAACCTCTCCAGTCTACACCCCTCACTGTTCCCCTTTTCTTTCTCCAGATATTCCGATATCCCGCCACCCTTCTGTTCCGTCTTTCCGCTCGCATCCGAATGACTCCGCACACCTTTTTCATTACTGTCTCCAATTGATCTTTGTACCCCTCGTCAGCATCCACTTTTCCTCCTCCTACGTTCTCTTCCAGTGTTTCTCCTCCTGCTCTTACCTCCTCCCCTTTTCTCCCTCTTTCCCTTCCCCTCTGCCGTTCTCTTTTTGTACCGCGCGCGCAGTTTTCTATTCTTTTTCTGCTCTGTCGCTTCCAATTCCTTCAAGGCCTCTCTTCGATGAATCGTTAATGGCACCCCACCGAGAGGGGGAAGGCCTGGAGATGGAGATACCAAGATCCCTGCAAATGAAGACGTCAGTTTCCCCTTGCTATCTTTTTCTAATCTTCTCACCTTCACTCCTGTATCCTTAACAGGTTTGTGGCATGGAAGGAGTGGACATGCAGAGCGAGCCGGTGAGCCCTGTCAGAAAGCCGAGAAGTGGTAAACCACTCTCCAAAATGCCGCAGTGACAGCGCCTATTACAGAGTTTGTTACCCTTGTCAAAACTCTCTGACAGGTTGGAAAAACTCGGTTCTGTAAACACACCAATGCCAGGATGAGCAAGCAAGGAGAAAGAGAGGCAGGATAAAAGAGGAGAGAGGGGAAAAGTCAGCCTGGAGACCATAGAAAAACGCCTCTTTATCAAAGGCTTTGCTATCAAAGGAGCCCGACACAAAAGAACAGTGCATAAACAGGCGCATTAATTATTAATGGACCATGGTGGGCTTGGACTCGATCGAGCGTGATGCGAGATCTCTACATGATTGCATAAAGCAGGGGCTCTTCCCAATTAAGCACTGGAGCACATCAAAGAACACCTAACGCATTCCATGGGGTGGCGACTGCAACTGATTGCATGGAAATGTATGCCATTAATACAATAATGTGCTCTCCACACAGATCAGAGCAAGAACACAATAATATTGGGGTTTGAATGTTGAATGTAGTATGGCAAAAATATCCAGAAGGTAGTTTGTAAGAGAGTTATTTGTTTCAAAGCAAAGGATTTGTGCACAGTCATCAGCTCAAGGGAAAGATCAGAGGGCACTTCCAGACCACAGGGAAGGTTGGAATATGGTGGTACCTGGTTGGTTGTGATGGCTCCTATTACTTGTCGACCTTACTTTGCAACCTAAAAAGTGGGGGCTTGTCCGGGATGTGAAAAATACAGTACATTTTTGGGTGTTTGGGAGCTTTTGTCATTCATAATTTACAAAAGTAAAAGTATATTTTTGTGTAAAAACAAAATAAAATTAGTGGATTTACTTTCAAGAATAAATGAATGCATAAAAACTAGCTGTTGTAGGAAGTTATTCAGACTGGATGTTAAGTTCAACATGCTGAGTTAACTGAGAATGTTGTTTTTATTTTATAAGATGGTGTTAAAAATACTGTTTTCTCTGCTCCCCTTCACTACAGAGCACATTAAAACAGTGCAGCAACCAGAATAGCATTTTTGCCTAATTCTAATAGATTCCTTCAAAAGTCTGCTAA